CACACACACACACACACACACGGGCACCCCCCCCACACACACAGGCACACACACACACACACGGGCACCCCCCCGCCCCTACACACAGAGGCATTCCCAGAGACCCATCTCCCACGTCTCTGAATCTGGTCAAGGTGACAACCATACCATCATAAGGACTCTTCAAGGGCCGTGCTACCTGCGCTATGAGCACAACAAAAACAGCTTACTACTGCTCAGTATGGTTTTGTCTGACTCTTTTATCTATTTTCCCTTTTAAAGCCTGAACTGTTCTTCGCCTCTCTGAGTGCATAGACCAAATGAGACCATAGAGAGGTGAAGAGAAAAAAACTCACCAAGGATGTCGTCATCTTCCGCTGCCGAAGGAAAAGTCTGGAGAAGTACTCGGATTGGGTCTGGGAAGGAGAAACAAAGCCATTATTAGTGGTATGACAAGAGGGAAGTCTATAGAGAAACCTACTAGAACATTCCAAGAAGGAAACTTTATGGGTGATGGTCTCGTGGGCTTTCAGAAGGAACTGGAGAGCTTTAACTATGTAGGGGGAATGGATGGACGGGACTGTCAAGGTGAACTAACACGAAATGCTGTTTAAATAATTTACATTGTTTAATAGGGATACAAAAGAATACTCACAGGCTGCTCTGAAAACAACACAGTTAACCTGGTGGTGACTATATTTGTATAAAATTAGGTGATATTGTGACTGCATCTTTAATACTGCAGAAGGAATGTCAGCCTGGGACTGAGCACTCCTACTGAAAACACCTCAGTGTGACCTCGGTTAAGTCACCACCATAGCAGACAGTCTCCCCACAAACTTTCTCAAAACTAAACCCTATGATGTTGCAGGGACAGACTCGGGGAAGCCAAGCAGACAGTGCACGGGTACCGATGGGTGCCGAATGACACCGTGAGAATCTGAAGCGGTGAGAGGAAGGGGTGTTGCGTGAGGCAGGAGTGTGGACAGCGCCTCTGCAGCTCAGGCCGCTACCCCCTGCTATGCCCGCACGCCTCGTCCTCTGACAACCCTGCCTTCAGCCTGACCATTGCGACCATCCCGGACCCCTAACACTGTGGAAGGAGGGAGCAGGGGCTTCGCGCAGGCGCTCACTGCTCAGCCCCTCGCCCCCCCCCCTCCGCCCCCAAGGCCCCGATCTGCATCCTCAGGCCTCACCTAGGAGGCCGCAGCGGGCCCGGGTCTTGACACCTCTGTCAGCCCGGCCCTCGGCCTCCCCGGCCTGCACAGCCGTGCCCGCCCGCTGCGGACCGGGACGCTCCGGCCTCGGACCCACAAGCTCCACTACTCCAACTCGCGCAAGGAAAAGCCGCGGGCTGCGGGAGCGAGGGCAGAAACACAGACCGTAGGAAGCCAGGGCGGAGCAGCGGTCGTGCGCACGCGCAAGCCCGCACGCAGGCCGAGGTGCGCACGCGCAGCCGCGTTCCCGAAGTGGCGGGGTCCCAGTGGTCTTCCTCTCACCCCGGCGTAGAGGGTGGACTCCCAGAAGTCTAGGCGCCCCTGGTTCTAGGGATCGTCGCACAAGTCTCTTCCTCATCTCACCAAGCTGGGAGCAACAGTAATTCGGGCCCCGCGGTCACTGTCGTTTTGGTCCCCACTCCCTTTGAGTCTCCAGAAATGGCCCGAGGGGTTATGTCTTCGAGGCACCACGCCCTCTCCTGGCCAGGGGCTTTTATATAAAAGGCGGATTCTGACAGATAACTGTGTGTCCTGCTCTGTTAACCGAAGTGCTAGAAGTTTCCATAAAGCACCAACTACAAGAAATGACCAGCAGTTCTTTCCAAAGAAGAGAGAGAAGACAAAAATAGTGATTTTTCTGGATCACACAACGAATGCATAAAAGTTCTAAAAGCAACCAGTGCGGACACACAGAAAGTCCTATTACAGATGCCTAGATGTTTGAAGTCAGCCGACAATAAATAACAATGTTCAAACATGATACCATATGGTCAATGATTTCCCCAATTCCACCCGCACTCCCTAACGCAACAGGGTTCTTGTCCTGTCTGTTTCCAAAGCTGTGTTCAGCGAGACCAGTTTTGACCCAGGCTTTTTCAGACCCAGGCCAGCTGGCCTTGGTGAGTTCCCAATCCCCATTGTCTCAGTGTATGGGTGCACCCCTCCCGGTCCTAAGTTCCTTGCTTGTGCTCTCTCTCCTTCTGCTCCTGATTTGGACCTTGAGATTTCAGTCCGGTGCTCCAATGTGGTTCTCTGTCTCTGTCTCCTTTCATCGCCTGATGAAGTTTAATATTCAGGAGAAATATTCAGGATTTTCTTTGGGTTCTCCTTCTTATGCTGATGGAGACTGAACGAAAGCTGCCAATGCAAAAATTCTCTACACAGTTGCAGAAAAGAAGTTTCACCATGAACGAAGCGCCCCAATCAACCTGCGGTGTCCATCGCAGGTGAAGCACTGGAGGCAGAAGCATCACGAAGCTAACCCGCTGCAGGGTGCCTGTGGTCTCAGGAGGAAGGGTGACTCTCTCTCCTCAGCTCTGCAAGACTGGCTGCCTCTCCTCCCAGGTCCCTTCTGACATCACCTGGTCACTGAAGTACTCATCTAAGCTGGCCTTATCTCACGAAGCTAAAGCTCCCACATCCCTGTGACAAGCAGGTAGTTACATCTCTGAACAGGGGCCCGGACTACACTCCCCGGGAGACAGGGAGATAGGAGCATTGCACAGAGGGGACTCGGGGCTTTCCGAAAAGGAATTCCTTCCTTGCATTGAGGATATTTCAAGCCTATATATTTTTGTATTAAGAAAAGATTTCCATGTGTACAGACAGAACAAGGGTCACCAGCCAGCAGGCCGAGGTCCTTCTACTCTGCTCAGTAGCATGGAGAAGCTTACCCAGTGCCTGCATCCCAGGTGTGCCCACGGGCTACTGGCTGGACCAGCAGGCCTACAGGCTTTCAGCTACAAGTTCTGACCTTGAGGTCTACTGTGTCCAGCTTTATAAACTAGAGACTTAATGTCCCAGTGGCCCTGGCCATGGCACGTGACAGCTGTTGTCATATATGGCCTCCAATAGCAGCAACAGGTAGCAGCTGTGCCTGCCGGTGCTACTGATCCTCAATGGACTTAGGTGTTATGTTACGGTTATTGAGTTCAAGGTGTTCCCTTAGCCTTAATGCTTGACAGCTCCCTGGTCCGCTGCCAGCTCCTGAGAGCTCACTGTCTGTCTGTGGCTCTCCATTGCCTTCTGTCCTGTTCAGCCTCAGCTCCCCTCATGCTGCTCATTTCTACTCCCATCCTCCCTTGGAGTCCGTGCTCGTTCTCTTAAGGCCGTCCTCCAATTGTCTCATGATCATATTCTCAGTTCAGCCCACTGAGCTGATGAGAAGGCTCACAAGTAGGCAAAGAGCCCTGGAGAGAAGCCCTTTATGGAGCCTCCTGTGGCGCCACGAGTTTCAGTGGCCGCCTCAGTTCGCCGAGGCTTGTGATCACAAAAGGGTTCCTTTAGAAAGCTGGGTAGGACGGTGGTGCACTGGAGAGGATGGACAAAAGGAGTGTGAGTTTGAGGCCAGCTTGGGCAGCACAGTGAAATCCTGGAGGGAGAGTAGGAGGGAAGAACAGGCAGATAAAGGGAGGGAGAGAGGGGAGGAGACAGAAGCTGTCTGGGGCAGTGGTGCCCAGGGAAGTGGAGACTCCTTTCAACAGCAACCATCGTGAATCTGTGCAGCTTCCTCAAGGGGGCTGGGGCACGCTCAAAGGAACTGAGCTTCTGAGCAGCCGTTCTGGCTGCCCCCCCCAGGCGGTCCACCAAACTGATTGGCTAATAGTCTTCTGCTTGGCACACCCAGGCAGAGACTAGCAGCTATCAATTAGGGGAGCAAATACTGAGCTTGTTTGAAGGAAAAATAAACATTAATATGGGTGCTTATAATAAAGGCTTATTGTTAACACTGACAATTATTCAATACTATTTAACAGTGTTCCATACTCTGCTAAGTACTCTTTAAGAGCTGGGCATTCTATTGACTCCAACTGTATTTCGAAGGTGTGTGTCTGTGTCCGTGTGTGTCTGTATTTGTGTCTGTGTGTTTAGGTATGTGTTTTTATGAGTATGTGCGTGCTCCAAGGTCTTCACTTGGAGTTCACCAGTTTGCTGACGGAAGTTGGCCAGTGAACTCTCTGAATCTGCCAGTCTCTGCCTCTCCGCACTGGGTACATACATACTGCACCCAGCTCTCACACGGGGGCCGGAGATCCAGACTCGGGGCTTCAGGCTTGTGCAGCAATCACTTTGCTTGTAGTCTAAGCCATTTCTCCAGCTCCCTGTTCCTCAAGTTATTAATTTCCCCACAAAAATGATAAAAACAGGAAGAGGGTCTGGAGAGATGTGTCAGCTGGTAAAAATGCTTGCCTAGCGAGCCCGACAACCTTGCTCTGAGCCACAGAACCTATGTAGATGGGAACGGAGAGAACCAACTCCACAAAGATGTTTTTTGAGCCACAGCGACATGCTGTGGCTTTTGCACGCTGTGGTCGTCACTCACCTGCATCCACACACGGACTTCACAGGCACACAAATGCAATTTTAATAGGTAAATCATTTGAAGATGTACTCACAAGACTATGTAAATAAGCGCTATCTGCTACGCCAAGGAAGGTAGAGAGATGTGCATGTGTGCATGTGTGTGTGTGTGTGTGTGTGTGTGTGTTAGTGGGGTTGAACTAGTTCTTTGCACATGCTAGGCAAGCCCTTGACCACTAAGCTACATCTAGCCCTTTTTTGTTTTCTTTCTGTTTTGAGGTGACTCACTCAGTAAGTTACCTGAGCTGGCTTGTGCCCACTCTGGAGTCCAGGCAGGCCTTGAGCCTGCAGTCCCGAGCGGCTGCCATGACAGTCTGACAGTCTTCACTAGCAGATCCAACTTCCTAAGGAATTTTCACAAACAGTTGACCTGGAGCAGGGTGGAGAGGTGGCTCAGCAGTTAAGAGCGGTGCACTGCTCTCCTTGAAGACCTGCGTGTGGCTCCCAGCTCTACTGTCTGTCAGATTGTCCCGCCTGGACCTCTCAGCTCAGGGTATCTGGTGCCTGTGTGTCCTTAAAGGTACACACACACACACACACACACACCAACACACACACAGGAGCCACATAATATTTTATCTTCAAAAAATTGCCCGGGAGGGTCAGCTAGATGCCTTGTAAGCCTGTAAACTTGACGTCAGTCCCAGAACACACAGTGGAAGGATAGAACTAACTCCCAAAAGTTGCCTTCTGATCTCCCAAGTGTGCCATGACATACTCACATAAAAAACAGCAGTCGTGAAACAAGGTAAAAAAATAAAACTACTAAAAAAAAATAAAACTACTGTGGACATCAATATAAACAAACACATCTGAAAGCCACATGTTCTTAAAGACAGGAAAAGCACAAATCTCACATACTCCAGCAGATTCGCTCAGTTGGTGCCTCTGTGTGCTACAAGGCCACTAAAGAAATCGTATAGTATTTATTTAGACTTCCTGTCCACCTAGAGACTCATGGCTCTAGGCTACAGGTAATGTTCACTCTCACCCCTTCCAGTTCAGCACCTGGCAGCCACCACTACCCACTCAGGTGGAATAAAGGTGAATCTTGTGTGTGTGTGTGTGTGTGTGTGTGTGTGTGTGTGTGTGTATGCTGTGTTGTTTTGTTTTGTTTTGGGGACAGGGTTTCTCTGTGTAGCCCTGGCTGTCCTGTAACTTGCTCTGTAGACCAGGCTAGCCTCAAAACTCAGAAATCTGCCTGCCTCTGCCTTGGAAGTGCCGGAATTAAAAGCGTACACCACGAAAAACCAGCTAAAATAGTAAGTGCACTTTTTATCATTAACAAGTGGAGAACGCTCCTCATGGTGGATCTGAATTGTCAACTTGATTAGATCTAGAGACACCTAAAATACTGCCTTAGTTTCTTTTCATGTCGCTTTGATAAAATACCCAACAAAAGCTACTTAAGAGAGAAAGGGCTTATTTTGGCTCACAGTTCAAAGAGGTCCATCATGGCAGGGAAGCCAAACAGACAGGAGCTTGAAGCAACTCGTCCTATCGCATCTACAGTTAGGAAGCAGAGAGGGCTGAGGAAACACTATGTTCAACTGTGCTTTCTCCTTTCATACAGTCTGTGATCTTAGCCCAGGGAAAGGGTGTCTGCGGAGTGGGACTCCCTCCCTTGCAAACCTAGTCGAGATAACTTTGCACAGGCTTGCCCAGAGGCCATTCCAACCTAGATAGTCCCTCATAGGTGTGCCTGTCTGACGGAGTTTCCTGAGAGGTTTTCTGAGGAAGACACACCTGAAATGGACAGTACCATCTCATGGGCATGGGGTCTTAGACTGAATAAAAAAGAAAAGGAGAACGTGAACTAAGCAACAGCCTCTCTCTCTCCCTCCCTCCCTTCCTCCTTCCCTTCCTCTCCTCTCTCTCTCTCTCCCTCCCTCTCTTTGTCACTTCCTTCCTCTTTCTTCTCTCTCCCTCCTTCTCTTTCTCCTCCCTCCTTCCCTCTCTCTCTCCCTCCCTCTTTCTCCCTACCTCCTTCTCTCTTTACCTCTCTCTCTCTCCTTCTTTCTCACCTTCCCCCCCTCCCCTTCTCTCTCCCCTCTCCCCCCCCTCTGCTTCCGGACTTGAGCAGCCTTCTCAGGCTCCTGCCACCACACCTGTCATGATGGACCGTAGCCTCTCCAACCGTGAGCTCAAATACCCATTCCCAGCCTGAAGCTGCTTTTGTCAAATGTTTTGTCCCTGCAGTGTTAAAGCCTATGTTCCTCACTAATGGCATTGTTTGGGGAGGTCCTGGAAACGTAAGGTATAGGACCTAGATGGAGGAAGCAGCTTCAGTGGTGGCAGGGAGGATTTATTGGGGCTATCTGGTCCCTTTCTGTCTCCCTGTTTACATTTCCTGTCTACCGTGCAAGCAGGAACAATCCTACCACTACGATGTCCTGCCTCACAGTGATCCCAGAACCACAGAGCCAAGGGACCCCTGAAATGATGAAGTCAAATAAAATGTCCATCTTTCAGGTGCCTGTTCTGAGAACAAAAGCAATTCATAAAGAGAACGGGTGCCAGGAAAATGGAAGCACGGTTGTGATAAAACTGACCTTATGGTTTCTAAACCTTCAGAGCTGACTTGAATGAAGAATTTGCAGATGTGTTTGGTTGCACAGTAGATAAGTTTTAGGATGTTGTAAACCTGACTTGGTGAGAGATCCCGGCGTGAGCTCAAGAGGTAAGAATCCCAGTAGACACTCAGACAGCGTAGACTGCACCCAGAGGTTTCATGCAAGAGTTGGAAATTGTGCGAGAGGCCATTTGTATTACATTCTGCCAAGGAATATTCAGCCAGGTAAATCCTTTGCCTGTGCCTTTGTTTCTCTTGTTTGTTTGGTTTGGTTTGGTTTTTGCATCTCTCAGAGGTCCTCACTCTGTGTCTTTGGTTTGGAACTCACTATACAGACCAGGCTGGCCTCCAGCTTGCAGAAGACTCTTTTGCTCTGCCATTTGAGTGCTAGGATGATAGACAGGAGCTACCATGCCCAGCTGCTCTGAGACTTCGCAGCTGCAGTGGTTATAGTTGTCACCTTGACTGAGTCTAGAATTATCTTACATTAATTGATGTCAGGAAACTCATCTTCATAGATGGAGAAAGGGAGCTGAACAGCCCTGTGTATCCGCCACTCTCTGCCTCCTCTGACTGTGGATGCAGTGTGACTAGCCACTTTCTTCAACCTCCTGCTACTGGACTTCCCTGCCACGATGGACTGTACCCTTGAACTGAAAGCCACAGTCAGTCCTTTCTCCCTTAAGTTGCTTTCTTTGAGGCATTTTTATTATAGCAACAGACAAAAAGACCAAGATAATAATATACTAACTAATGCTGTAAAGGAAGTTTTAGACAGTGTAGCATGTAAGATACGATATGGTTATTTCAGGCTGCTTTTAGTCAGGCTTAGAAGTAAGAATTAGTATCAAAAGCAGAGGGGGCTGGAGAGACAGCTCAGTGGTTAAAAGCACTGGCTGCCCTTCCAGAGGTGTTGAGTTCGATTCCCAGCTCACAACCATCTGTAATGATCTGGTGCCCTCTTCTGGCTGACGGGCACACATGGAGGCAGAATGTTGTATACATAAGAAATAAATAAATAAATCTTTAAAAAAAAAAAGAGCAGAAAGACTTGGGGAAAGTCTGTGCTTTGGTCAGAAACGCATGTATGAAGTTGAGAGCAAAGCAGAGGGGTTTCTGAAAAAGCAGCAGTGTGAGTGGGGACATCCTGCCCAGCGCTCGCTGCTGTTCAGCAGCTCCTACATTAGAATTCTCAGCAGTGGAGCCAAAGTGACAACGTCATGACCGTGCTCACACCCCCACATGTCACTGGAGTGTGCTTCCACATCAGCCAGAGGATGGGACTGTGATTGGACAGCTTGTGAGACAGGGTGGCATCAGCTGGGTCCCTGGCTACTAGCTGCACTGTACAATGGCTGCCCTCGGTCCAGGACTGGGTGTCCTTGGTACCGTCGTTCTTTTTAGTCCTCTATCCTGTGCCCTGCAGTAGGCTGCCCTCTCGGATACATCATTGGTTAACTTCAACTGTCAATTTGACACCATCTGGAATAATTCGAAAAGAGAGTTCCAGAGAGTGGATTGTCTGTGGGAGATCACCTTAACTGAGTTAATTGATGTGAGAAGAACCAGCCCACTGTGGGTGGTGCCCAAGTAGACGAGTGAGCGTGTGCGCAGTGGTCTCTCTGCAGGTGCGGTGTGACTAGCTGTTGGACACTGCCTTGACTTCTCCGCAATGACTGACTGTAACCTGAACTTACTTTTCTTTTTTTTAAAAATTTTTTTTAAAAATTTATTATGTATCTAATATTCTGTCTGTGTGTATCAGAAGAGGGTGCCAGACCTCATTACAGATGACTGTGAGCCACCATGTGGTTGCTGGGAATTGAACTCAGGACCTTTGGAAGAGCAGGCAATGCTCTTAACCGCTGAGCCATCTCTCCAGCCCCTTACTTTTCTTCACTCAGTTGTTCTTCATCAGGATATTTAATCACAGGCAGGGAAGACACTGAACGTCAACCCTTCTGTTAAGGGATGCTACCGTTCCACCCAGGATTATCCTTTCCTCCAGGGCCTGGGAGTGAGCCTCAGGGTTGGCCTCTCTCTCTCAGGGGTCTGAATCCAGAGACTGTCACTTCCTGTACTTTCCCCTCTTTGCAAACTTGATCCGCTGAAAGAGTCAATCTTGAATCCTGTGACTCAAACTGCATTGTGAGCACAGGTAGCAGAAACCCATCGTTAGCAGCCATCCTCTGCCCCCCACAGGTCTCACTAGATTTTAGGGGTCATAGCATTGGGAGATTGCTTCCAGGGTTAAAGACCATAGTCACCAGAGGACACAATGGGAAGATTAGAGGGGTGGGCCCAGCAAGGTTGTGGCAATGCTAAGGGTAGAAGCCCAGGTTCAATGTTGCTCTGAGGTCTTCCTCTTCATAGGGACACTCCATCTATGGGTACCACTCACCAGCCAGAAGCACTGGATCAAAGGTGCTGTCAGGTAAGCACCTTTGGCCTGACACCATCCTGCATGTCAGATCTCCATCACAAGTCCCCCACAGACTCTACCTTGCCGTGTTCATCAATAGTGGCCGTGCTTTCTGTAGAATCCCCATTGCATTCTTCAACTATGGATTTGCAAACCTGCACATCCGTCCTCGGAACTGGTAGACACGTCAATCCATCAGTTATGCATGTTGTCCTTCAAACCGGTTGCCGGGTTGGAAGGCTGATGACCTCACAGGCTTCCGCCCCTCCTGATTGGAAGGGCCAAACTCTGTGGAGCTAGGCAGCTTGGTGGTTAAAGTTACTTTTCTCCTCCACACTTAACTTCTCCAGAGACGACAGAAGAGAGAGTTAGGAGTGGATTCAGCCAGAGCCCAGGAGGATTGTGGGGGAGACAAGAGTCCAGGGTTTGTAGGAGAGAAGGAGGCGTCTCAGAGGATCATGGCTGCTGGTGACCCATCCTTGACACAGAAGGAGCAGTGTCCCCAGCTTAGCACCACGGTGTCATCACCAGTGGTGAGGTTACCAGGGTGAGAAGAGATGTGAGCAGGTGGCCATTAGGAGAAGGGGCATAGGAGAAAGAAAGGAGGGGCCCTGGAGGCCAGAGACTGGAGAAGGGGGGACGTGAATGTCACGTGGACATGAAATCTACAGAGCAAGGAAGGGGAATGAAGAATTATAAAAAGGAATTTCTCTCAGGAGGCAGAAGGGGCAGACATCTGAGTTGGAGCTAGCCTGGTCTACAGAACAAGTTCCAGGGTTGATAGAGAGAAACCCTGACTCAAAAATAAAATTTAAGGTCAGACAGTGGTGGTGTATGCCTGATTCAATCCCAGCACTCAGGAGGCAGAAGCAGGCAGATCTCTGTAAGTTCAAGGCCAGACTGGTCTACAGAGTGAGTTCCAGGACAGGCTCCAAGGTTATAGAAAAACTCTGTGTCAAAAAACAAAACAAAACCAAACCAAAAAGAATTTAATTATTAATTAATTAAAAATGAAATTGTTTCCTTTTTTACCAAGTGCAGAAAGAGTGTATAATGGGGAAGAAACTGAGTGAAGGGGAAGTTAAGATGTTTCCGGGAATATGAAAGGGCCGCACCCCCAGCATGTGCATTGCAAAGAGAACAGACATGGAAGATGGTTTTGAGATGGAATGAATGTAGGTCCACGGCAGGATGCAGAGGGGGCCCTAATCCTCAGAACAAGTAGACACATCAAGCTGTCAGTTACACATGTTTTATTTCAAACTGGTTGCCAGATTGGAAGGCTGATGACATCACAGGCGTCTGCCCCTCCTGATTGGAGGAGAAGCACTCCATGGTGGTGGGCAGCTCGGTGGACAACAGCATCTTCTTGGAGCTTTCCTCCACACCTCACCTCTCCTTCGATGGGGGAAGGGACGTCATGTGTGGATTCAGTGAAAGTCCAGGAGGAGGGCGGGATAGACCCAAGGCTGGGATTTGTGGAAGGAAGGAAACAGGTTGGGAGAATCGTGACCTCTGGCCAACTGTCATTGTGTTCTGAGCGACAGAGTCCTCAGCTTGGCATCACCAGGCCCTCACCTGGGGTGCTGACGCATGGGGAGATCTCAGGACCAGCAGGTGAGGGGACTGGGTGAGGAGAGATGAGAGGGTGATGGCAAGGAGGAAGGGCGCAGGAGGAAGGGCGCAGGAGGGAGGCCCGGGAGGCAGGACTGGGGGCCGGAGAACAGGGAGTCAGACACAGATGTCACATGGACTGAAAACCCGCAGTACAAGGAAGGGGTTAGGCACCAAGAGTCAGAGACAGGACAGAGAAGAGGGGACATAAGAAGAGACTTCCTTTGTATAGGGACAATTTGTCTCTGATGAGGAAGAGTCTTGAGGAACAGGGAGAGGGGATGGGGACAAGATGAGAGGCAGGTGGCCATCAGCCCAGAGGGAATCGGCACAATGGTTTGGGGAAAGGCAGTAGCTGAAGAGGTTTGGGGTGTTTGGGGTATCAAGGGGCAGGGTGAGATTCACCAAAGCATGAGCTTCACACTGGGTGTGGTTTCTTCACTTAGAACCAAGGGCAGAGGCCAACTTCCAGCCTCCGTTCACCAGCCTAAAGAGGAAGAGGAACTTGTCATCGGATTCTGAGGATGACCTGGCAGAGCTGCTGGACCCTGAGCCTGAGCTAGTGTGGTACGTGGAGACACTGTGTGGGCTCAGGATGACGCTGAGGAGGAGGCGCGCGTCTATGGTGAGGCCTGAACACCACAAGGTCTTCACCAGGCTGCTGGGTAGGTGACACCTGCATGGCTTAAGTGCTTCTGGCCTGTGTCGGTGTGCATTTGGTGCAATGAGAGGATGCTATGGTGTGTTGACACAGGCTGGGACAGGGATGGAGCTCAGAGGTGGGCTTCTGACCTGAGCCATTCCCCAGGGAGGCGGCTATCCTGGCTCTCCCCCAGGGAGGTGGTTCTCCTGGCTCTCCCCCAGGGAGGTGGTTCTCCTGGCTCTCTCCCAGGGATCTACACTGTCTCTCCCCCAGGGAGGCAGCTCTCCTGGCTCTTCCCAAGCTCTTCCCTTTCACACCATGACACATGCTCTTCCTTCACAGAGGATCCTGTGGTGAAAAAATTCCTGGCCTGGGACAAGACGCTGAGAGTGTCTGATAAGGTGCACCAAGCTGGGCTCCAGATCCTGTCCTGCCTAGGGAGGGACCTCCCTGACCACCATCCTCTGTCCCTCCCCAGAGCCACCAGAAGTCACACAGTCTTGACCCTCCATATCCTGCCAGTGCCTCTCTTCAGGGCCTGGCAGTGTCTTACAGAGTGGACAGGAGACCCTTGCCTCACTGGGGTCTGAGTCCCACAGTCACCATCTTACCCTGGGAATTGCTTCTTCTCTCCCACAGCTCTCTGGGACCCTTTGTTCCCACTGGGCAAAGACCTCCTTGTCCCGGTTGTCCTAAGTCCTCCCTCAGAACTGACCCGGAGCCAACCATGCTGGAACAAGGGCCTCCTGCCTCTGACCTGGCCTTCCTGAATGCCCCTCTCACCCTCCCTTCCCCACTCCAGCAGGCACCCAAACCTCGGGGCTCCTCTCTGAGCCTCACACCCCCTCAGCCCCTTTCCCCTGTGCCTATGGTCTTCCTCTCCAGGGTGTGACAGCTCCTCTCCTGTCTGCTCTCTCCTTCAGTACCTCCTGTCTATGGTCATAGCTTATTTCAGCCGCGCTGGGCTCTTCTCCTGGCAGTATAGGCCAATCCACTTCTTCCTGGCTCTGTGAGTATTTTGCCCCCTCCTGTTGGTCACTGTTCCTTCCCTTCATGTGGGGATCACAAAAAGTGGGCATCTGGTGTGTCCTTTTAGCAAAATGTCCTTAAACTTGTTTTGTGTGTGTGTGTGTTTGTGTGTGTGTGTGTATGTGTGTGTTTTGTTTTTCAAACTATTACCAGCTAGAAATTTAACAAGGGCCAGAGAGACGGCTCAGTTTGTAAAGCGCTTGCCATACAAGCACAAAGACTTGTTCAGATATTCAGAACTCACAGGAAATGGTGGGCCAGGTGCTTGCAACGTCGGTGCTAGCAGTCAGGTAAAGGAATATTACCTGGGGTTCAGTGCAGCCTCCTAACCTAACTGGTGTTACTGAGGTCTCAGTGAGGGACCCTGTCTCGTGAAACAAGGTAGACAGCTCCTAGGAAGAACCCAGGGTCGTGTTGGAACTGCATTTAAGTGCTCAATTGTGCACCCCCCTCCACACACGCATGGGCACACACACACACACACACACACACACACATGTGCCCTCACACACTCAAGGACACATGGAATAAACACCAGGAAGCGTAGAGCTCTTTGTAGAGTTTCAGTTCTTTCTACAAGCATTCAGGTGCGGCTGTGTCCCCTTCTTCACTCCCTCTCAGAGGCTTCTTTCCATGGTGGTTCTCGGGGGTGGCACATAAATAGTTAAAATTAGCCAGCCCTTACCTGCAGGCTCATTCCCAGGGTGAGCGCAGCCATCTTTCTACCCAGCCACCACCCGGTACTCCCTTCCTCCCTGTCTCCTTCCCAGGCAGTACCCTCTATTCTAATCATCTCGGGGTGCCTGGAGACAGTCACCTTCCTTCAAATTACTTCATCCTCTGAAATCTAACAGGACAAGGCAGAGCCTCCCTCTAGCCGAAATCCTTCAGGAAGCTGAGATATGATGATCCCTTGAGCCAAGTTTTTGAGGGCACCATAGCTACATAGCAGGGTGCCTCAAATCAACCTGATCACGAATGAAGCCTTTTATCTGCACTCTTTGATCTGCCAGCTTTTGCCTCCAGCAGAAGTGTGCTAAAATTCTATCAAGATGAAATTGTGGGTTTTGAGAGATGACTTATCAGCTAAGAGCTATAGGATTGAATTTCTGTTCTCAACATTCAAATCAGGCCGCTCACAGCACTGCAGGGGTCCAGCTCTCGCTATAGGCACCTGCACGCATTGTACATACTCACACATACCCATATCCATACCTAAAAGTGAAAAGTATATTTAAGGGACTGTAGACACAGCTCAGCAGTTAAGAAAGTACACTGGAGCCGGGCGGTGGTGGTGCATGCCTTTAATCCCAGCACTCGGGAGGCAGAGGCAGGCGGATCTCTGTGAGTTCGAGACCAGCCTGGTCTACAAGAGCTAGTTCCAGGACAGGCTCCAAAGCCACAGAGAAACCCTGTCTCGAAAAAAAACAAAAACAAAAACAAACAAACAAAAAAGTACACTGGACTCCTGTTCAAGGGGTATCTGATGCCCTCTTCTGGCCTCTGAGGCCACTTACATGCACGTGCACACACCCACATGCGTGTGCACACACCCACACTCACATGCACCCCCACATGCACGTGTACGCACCTACATGCATGTGCGCGCACACACCCACGTGCGCATGCACACATACACACACACAAATACTAGAAAACATGTAAGAGGTGGGTTGTAGCCTCTGGCGTCCTCTCCTCTTTCCCAGTTCCCTCACAGTGGACACTTGTAGAGAGCAGGATCTGGTCAAACACAGCCATTCTCCAGACACCTCGATTCTGTTTTATTCCAGAGGTGTTTCTGTTATAAACCCAGCCATGCACATCATCGGCGTATGTCCGCTTGTCTATCACTTCCATTCATTCATTCCCGCATCCAGCAATTCATCCAGCACATTCTGGACAGGGCCCTCTTCATGCCAAAATATGAGGTGACGCTGAGAGAGAGAGACCTCAGAAATGCTAGTTGACATTAAGGAGAGAAGTGATGTGGGAGTGTCATATCAATCTGTTGATTTCATTGGCTGAGCAATAAAGAAACTGCTTGGCTGGCCCTGATAGGTTAGAACATAGGTGGGAGGAATAAACAGAATAGGATGCTGGGCGGAAGAGGAAGTGAGGTCAGACTCTGCTCTGCTCCCGGAGACTCAACAGCTCTGCTCTCTGGAGCAGAGACACCATGATGGACGGAGGCTAGAATCTTCCCGGTAAGCGCACCTTGGGGTGCTTACACACATCATTAGAAATGGGCTAGTCCAGGTGAGAGAATTAGCCTGTAAGGGTTAGAGTTCATGGGCCCAGCAGTTCTTAAATGAATACAGTTTGTGTGTTGTTATTTCGGGCATAAGCTAGCCAAGCGGCCGGGGTGTTGGGGACGCAGCCCCGCCGCCGCTCTTATTTCAACAGAGAAGGAAGGGAGAGGGTAGTGGAGTCGGCTCACGGTGAGAGCTGCAGAGACAGCATCAGGTTCTGCCAGTGGCGTATCCTCATCTGCTCAGCTGATGTGATCCCGTGCTGAGGTGACTCCCGGGTCCTCTTCTGGGTCCTTCTGAGCCTTTCAGCAACACCCTGATTCCTTCCCCAGGTACCTGGCCAATGACATGGAGGAGGACAACCAGGCCCCTAAACAAGATATTTTTTACTTCCTCTACGGCAAGAGCTATGCCCAGCGCCCCATGTTCCACAAACTACGGTTCCAGTTCATTCGGTCCATGGGCTGGAGGATCTGGGTGTCCCGGGAGGAGTGTGAAGAGGTGGGTGGCTGTGGGGCACATGGGTGCAGAGGGATGGACTGGACAGACAGAGAGGAGTGTGGTTAAATGTGGGAGGTGGGGATTGGGGATTGAGAAACCTTGAGGATAAACAGGGCATGTAAGGATGTTGGGGGAGGGGCAGACTGGCATTGCTCAAGGATCTTATTCTCTCTGCAGATCCAGGCTTACAACCCAGAGCTGTGGGTGTGGGCACGAGATCGCACCAACCTCACCTAGAAACTTAGAACTGTAGAGGCCTGAGGTCATCGGCCTAAGGAAGGTTTGTTGATGTTCTCTGAGGTGTGGAGTCCCGTCTGTGGTCTGATAAGGAAAGCCACTAAGTCCCTGCCTAACCCACCCTCATCCCACACTCGACTCCATTCTTTGAAACAACCCATTTGCACAGCTTTATCAGTCCCATCACTGCACACACACGTATACACATGCATGCACACACACAATGCATACATGCGTGGCACATGCACACACAGGTACACACATATGCATGCACGCACACACACGTGTGCGCACACATACTTTTTTAAGAAAGGAATCTTATGTTAAATCCAGAGCTGCCCCATGATAGAGCCTCCATGTGTCAGCCTTAGCATCTGATCCTGAGCATCACAGAACAGACAGACAAATGAATGAAAGGTTCAAGATAAGTTCCCATTTGTCAAATGTTCTGACCTCTAGTTAGGATTAACGCGGACAAAGCTCTTGTTCATGCCTGAAGAACTGCATGTATAAAGTCTGGCATGGTTCCCTTTTCCCCCAGATCCCTGTGCCCGAGGGAAACACTCTATGCCAACATTAAGAACCGCTGGGAGAAATGAGAGAGGACGCCTTCCACAGGAACTAGAAGAACCCAGACTCTTCTAGAAGGATGGAATGGAATCACCACACCGTGCTCCTGAGCGGGAACATGTGTAGGGGCTCTGGTGGGGAAGCCAGACATCAGGATTCCTCCAGAGCCCACTCCACTCAGCGACACCATCTAAATGTCATCCGGATGTCCCCAGTCCCGTCTCCCCAAGGCAGCAACCCTGTGGGTCCCTATAACTGGTCTCCACAGGCTCGGGCCATTTGAAGGAGGCTCCTCAGGGCTCAGACGAGAAGGGAAATATCTACAAAGAACAGTATTTGATCTATATAATTGTAATAACTTTCACACGTCACAAATTTTATTATATTATTAGTACACATAGCAAGTTTTGTTGTATTATCAATAAATAAACGTTATTGTGTTATTCTATGCAGACTACAAAATAATTAGCATATTAGTTTTATGTTTTGAGAACACGCTGCTCCTATGTCTTATCATAGCTCTTATAATGTTTATACACACATGACTATTTTGACTCAATGGAGGGTTTTTAACCTTTAAAAATCTATTACACTTATGTGTGTATCTGTCTTCTATGTGAGTAGCAGAACCCTAGGTCTTTGTGAATACAAGTTTTCACTTATTTCATATTTATTCTCTTTGTTGAATGTCAACGTTTAGCTTTGATACTTTGACATGCTTGGACATGTTTTTATATTACTTTAAAAAGGGTGTGTGTTTGAAAGAGCATCCATGTCACAAGGTCCTTCCCCGGGGTCTCTCTCTATCTCTTTCTCTCTCTCCTTCTGTGTGAGTGTTATGAAGTCATGGATGTCTTCATGTTCACCTGTGTGTAAATCTGTGTATGTGTGAGGGCATATATGGGGGGGGTGCGGTTGATTTCTAATGTCTTCCTTGATGGCATACTACTTTATTCATTAAGGCAGAGTCTCTCTTGAGCCCAGAGCTCCCAATACACCGACTCTTTCCAGCTTGTTCTAAGGACACACATTGGCCCCCATCTCTGTTTTCCAAGAGCCAGAATTACAGGAGAGATGCTATGCCCACCCGACATTTACATGGCTTGGGGATCTGAACTCTGGTCTTCAAGCTTGAGGCTTGCATAGCAAATGCTTTAACCACTGAGCCACCTCCCATCCCGGCTACTACGATTTCTCAGATGCCTTTCTCTTGTGGACCGTCTGTCTGCGGTGACTGTGTCACATCACTGAAATTAGTGAAGAAAATGGAAAAGGACTGAAATTCCCTACAAGGGTGGAACAACACAGACATGCTAGCAAACGAAGAAAGATCTTGTGTGCACAACTGTGTGTGTGTTGTTTGCTTATGTTTATGTAGATTGTACACACGCCTGTGGGTGCAGGCACACACATGTGCATGTGTGTTGTTTGCTTATATTTATGCAGACTGTACACACGCCTGTGGGTGCAGGTACACACATGTGCATGTGTGTTGTTTGCTTATGATTATGTAGATTGTATACACGCCTGTGGGTGCAGGTACACACATGTGCATGTAGAGGGCAGAAGTTGGCATCACATCTTTTCCTCAGTTTTTCTACACATTATTCTTTAAAGGTATATTTATCTTTGTTTTATGTGTGTGAGTGTTTTGCCTGCACGAAAGTCTGAGCGCCATGGGTGGGCAGTGTCCAGAGAACTCAGAATTATACACTGGATCCCCTGGAGCTGGAGTTACAGATGGTGTGGACTGCCATGTGGGTGCTGGGAATCAAGTCCAGGTCCTCTGCAGGATCAGGAAGTGCTCTTAACTCCTGAGTCATCTCTCCATCTTTTTTTAAGACAGGGTTTTGTATTGAAGCTCGAGCTTATTAATTCAGCTAGACCAGCTGGGAACCAAATATTCAAACCTATGAGCCTATGGCGGCCATTCTCCTTCAAACACTGCAGGTTCCAAGGTTAAAGACAAGTATGAGGACTTCAGACAGCAGAAGCCATGGAAAGATCGGAACAATAGCGCACGTTTGTGACCCCGGGGCTCATATTGTGAGACCAGAGCTCACAGGCCTGGAATCACTGGTGTTAAGTAACAGAGAAAGCTTGCCTTGAGGGATGCTGGAGGTTACCCTCTGACCTCCATGCTTGCCATCACATGCGTGCGCCTGACCTTATACACACTAACTTGCGCACACACTCACATACATGTGCATCATATGCACAGATATTTAAAAATCAACTTGATTAAAGAATAAGTATTATCTGTACCAAAACTCATTCACTTTATTTTGATAATGCCTGGGAAATTTGTATGATCATTGTAATTAAATGTTAAGCTGGTACAACCTAGAATCGCATGGGAAGAGCGTCTCTATGAGGGATTGTCTACATGGAATTGTCTACATCGGCCTGTGAGCATGTCTGTAGGGGATTGTCTTAATTAAATTAATTGTTGTGGGAAGACCCAGCTCACTTTGAGCAGCGGCGCTCCCTAGGCAGGGCATTCTGAACTGTATGTTGCTATGGAACAATCTTTTTGTACACTATGAATATTTATTACTCTCCTTGGCTAATAAAGAGCTGATGGCCCATAGCCAGGCAGGATTTTGAGGGAGCAAGGACACTGGGAGGAGGGAGGGGATTCACAGGCGTCTCAGGAGTGGCAAGGAGATTCAGAGAAAACAGGAGATGAACACGCCCTACTGCGGTAAGGTACTGAGCCACATGATGGAAATTAGATAGAAATGTGGGTTAATTAAAGTTATAAGTGCTGGTTAGTAACAAGCCTAAGCTATTGATCCAGCATTTATAATTCATAATGACTCTCTGTATGGGTATTTGGGAGCTGGCTGGTGGGTCAGAGCTGACGGGTGGTCCTGAGGAAAAACTCTACCTGCATTAAATGAAAATACAGCTGAGCAGAAGCAAGCAGCTGAGCATGCGTGCATATACTCCTTTCTGTTGCGGACTGGCTGTGGGCTGATGCCATCTGAAGTTCCTACTGCTTGGACTTCCTTGCTATCAGTGACTGTCACTTGGAATTGTGGACTAAATGATACCCTTTTTCCCATAGTGGATTTTTTTTTTTTTTTGCCATGGTGGTTTATCTGCAACAGAAAACTAGAGAAGCCATGTAGTTGGCACTCTAATTGTGATGAACAGACCGTCCTGGGACTTTTCCCAAGCAATCCAACCCAAACCCATGCTCTAGGACACCTTTAATCCGATTTTGGATTAGAATTGTGTTTTCCTAGGTATCCTAAAATCAGAATTCTGTAGCATTAAATCTATAGTTTGTGGTCCACTTAAGTGCTCTGTTCAGATTTTTATTTTTTATTTCAAAATAATTACAGATTGCAAGAAAATTGCCAAGACAGTAACATAAGCTTCAGGTACCATTCATCCAAAACCTTTAATTATGATACCTTAATAAAATTTTAGATAAGCGCGTGTGTGTATGTGTGTGTGTGTATGTGTGTATATGTCTGTGCATGTGTATATGTCTGTGCAAGTGTGTGTATGTGTGTATATGTGTGTATGTGTGTGCATATGTGTCTGTGTGTGTATGTGTGCGCACATGCATGCACGTGTGTGTATATATGTGTGTGCATGTGTGTATGTATGTGTGCGTGTATGTATGGGTGTGTGTGTATGCAGAGCCCAGAGGTCAAGGTCGGGTGTCTGCTATAGATTTCTACTTTAATTTTTGAGGCAGGGTTTCTCCCTGAGTCTGAAGATGCTTTGACTAGGTCAGCTGGTCAGTGAGCTCCTGGGACCTCTGTCCCTCCACGCTGGGGTCACAGACACAATCGCCGTGCCTGGATTTATGAGGGGTCAGGAATTTGAACTCGGGTCCACTTGTTTCATGGCAAGTGCTGCTATCCATTAAACCATCCCTCCTCAGACCCAAACATGAGTGACCATGGCCCAGAAACATGGATTCCAGTTTCTCCAGATAATATATTCCAATATGGATCTGTCGTCAGTAGAAGGACAAGGTCACAGCTTCACACTGTTGCCTTCAGGAAACCTGAGTTAGGTAAAGCTGGGTCCTCGGCTTTGTGCAGTAAATGATTTCAGACTGAGTCTCTGTGGAGCAGAGTTGGAGGGTTTTTGTTTGATTTTTGTTTTGTTTTAAACACCAACTTTAGGGGCTAGAGAAACCGCTCGGAGGTTAAGAGCACTAGCTGCTCTTACAGAGGAGCACACAGTGGCTCACAGTCATCTATAACTGCAGGTCTAGGGGATCCGATGCCCTCTTCTGGCCTCCGTGGACACCTGGCACACATGTGGTGTGCAGAGCTACATGCAGCTGAAACAGTTATGCGCATACAATAAAACAAATCTAAAATAAAAACAACTTGAATTTTTATGTATTCTGAGTGTATGTGCATGAGTGTGTTTGTTTGTGTGTGTGTGTGTGTGTGTGTGCGCGCGCGCGCGCGCATGTACGCCCGTGTATGTTTTATTGGGAGCTGAAGCCAGGGCCTCCCACATGCCAAACAAGTCCTCTATCATTGAGCTAAACATCCAGCCTTGAGAAGGTTAATCTTGACTGACAATGTGATTCTATTTTATTGATTACATTATGTGTATGAGTGTGTTTGTGTGAGAGAACATGTACGTGACTGCAGGTATCCTTGGGATCCAGAAGGGGGCATCAGATCCTCTTGGCCTGGAGTTATAGACGGTTGTGGGATGCCATGTCAGTGCTAGGGACTGAATTTAGGTCCTCTGCAAGAGCAGCCAGTGCACTTAGCCTCGGGCATCTCTGTAGCCTGCACTTTCTGTTGTATAGGAGGTAGGGCTTTTCCCAGGATCCCATGGATTTTTTTTTTACTTTTCTTTTTTTTTAATATTAAAAACATACTTTGAGTTTTTTTTTGTTTTTGCACTCCTGAATTTCCTCCCTCGGTTGCTTCTTCTTATGTCTGGGTTCAAGTGACAGTCTCTTGCTGAACAGTGGTGGTGCACGCCTTTAATCCTAGCACTCGGAAGGCAGAGACAGGCAGATCTCTTGTGAGTTCAAGACCAGCCTGGTCTACAAGAGTTCAAGAACAGGCTCTAAAGCTACAGAGAAACCCTTCACAAAAAACCTACAGATAAACCCTGTCAAAAAATAAAAAGTTACAGTACCTTGTAGAACGTCTTCTGTTTTTCTTTTTTAAAAAAATATTGTTGCCAGGTGGTGGTGGCACACACCTTTAATCCCAGCACTGGGGGGGCAGAGGCAGGCAGATCCCTGTGAGTTCAAGGCCAGCCTGGTCTACAACAGCTAATTCCATGACAGGCTCCAAAGCTACAGAGAAACCTTGTCTAGAAAAAAAATAAAAAAATATTGTGTATATGTGTGTGTGTACCTGTGTATGTGACACTTGCTTGTGTACTGCATTTACATGTATGTACATATGTATGGTATTCACACGTGTGCCTGTGTATGAATGTACCTGTGCACTCGTGTGTGGGTGTGCTTGCAACTGTGCACCAAGGAGGATGTCAAGTACTGTCCCTTGACACCTGCCTTATTCCTATGAGACTGGATCCCCAAAGAACCCGCAGTTGTCTCCTGTTTCCACACATCACCCCCACCCCTGCACTGGGTTTGGGGTCATGCACAACCACACTCAACATCCATCTTTCTTCGGGGTGGTGGTGTTGAACGCATGTCTCTGTGCTGCTGTTTTAGCAGAAGCTCTGCTCACCGAGCCATCTCCCCAGCCTTCTTCAAAGCTTTTCGTCATGAAACAGTCTAATTCAGGGCAGAGGGGCCAGAAGTTCAAGGTTGTTCTCAGGTACATAGCCCATCTGAGGCCACCTTAGAATATCTGAGGACCCATCTCAGACAGATAGATAGATAGATAGATAGATAGATAGATAGATAGATAGATAGATAGATAGATAGATGGGGTAAATAAATTGGTCAGATGAGCAGAATTCTGCTAAACAGTATTGAGCAGCAAACAATTCAGACTGACAGGATTAGAAGGCTTGCAAACAGGAGATGGTCCATCCTTACTGTAGTCCCTTACAGAAAATGCTGCGTGGTTTCTTAAAACAAACAAACAAAAACATGACATAGAAAGGCTCACTGGGTAAGGGCACTTGCCACCAAGCCTGACAACCTGAGTTTGATCCCCGGGACTCACATGATGGGAGGAGGAAACCAACTCCTGATAACCCTGAAAACTGTCCTCTGACCTTCACATGAGTGCAGGGGCATATGCATGCATCACTCACACACACACACACACACACACACACACACACACGTACAGGGGCATATGCATGCATCACACACAAGTGCAGAGGCATATGCATGCATCACACACACGAGTGCAGAGGTGCATGCATGCATTATAAACACACACACAAGTGCAGAGGCATATGCATGCATCACACACACGAGTGCAGAGGTGCATGCATGCATTATAAACACACACACAAGTGCTGAGGCATATGCATGCATCATAAACACACACATGAGTGCAGAGGCATATGCATGCATCACACACACGAGTGGAGAGGTGCATGCATGCATTATAAACACACACACAAGTGCTGAGGCATATGCATGCATCATAAACACACACATGAGTGCAGAGGCATATGCATGCATCATAAACACACTGTGTATATGTATACATATGTGCAAAAATTAAAATACAATGCCTGAAGAAGATACTATTAGAACAAATAAATAAGGGGCTGGAGAGGTAGTTCAGCAGCTAAGAGCAATGGCTGCTCTTCCAGAGGACCTGGGTTCATTTCCCAGGATCCACTTGGTGGCTCACAACCGCCTGTAACTCTGGTTCCAGGGCATCCAATGTCCTGTCCTGGACTATGTGGGCACTGTGTGCATGCAATGCACAGACATCTATGCAGGCAAAACAGACATACACATAAAAGACAAAGGAAAAATGAATAAATAAATAACTCAGACTCTAAAAAGATGAGAGACTAGGTTGCTGACAAAAGAATATTTATTAAAATATGTGCTTTTTCAAAATACACATCATCTTTAAATCAAAGGAAGTTAAATAAGTTACCACTTGCTCACAGCTCAATAATAAAGAGCAAATTTCAAACAAGAATTTATATATACATGAAACAAGTATCTATAAGTAGAATCTAAAAACCCATAAGGTATAGAGGTGCACACCTTTAATCCCAGCGCTGTTGAGGCAGAGGCAGGAGATCTCTGTGAGTCTGAAGCCAACCTGGACCATGAAGCAAGTTCAAGGCCAGGCAGGGATACATAGTGAGGCTCTGTCTCAAAACAAAACAAAATGAATATATAAAAACCAAATCTTCTCTAGGAGCGAAACTATTTACACATATGAAAGTTATAACACCCATCACAAAACTGGGAGAACTGTACAATATCAAATCTACAATATATCAAAGCTATTCAAAATAAATAATTCTATGATGAACATCGCAGATTCCAATAAAATATGAAATATATTAAAGTTTTTATTACAAATATATGGCTCAAATGCTATAGTTTGAAGATATTTCCCTTCTCGTCTGAGCCCTGAGGAGCCTCCTTCAAATGGCCCGAGCCTGTGGAGACCAGTTATAGGAAACCACAGGGCTGCTGCCTTGAGGAGACGGGACTGGGGACATCCGGATGACATTTAGACAGTGTCGCTGAGTGGAGTGGGCCCTGGAGGAATCCTGGTGTCTGGCTTCCCCACCAGAGCCCCTACACGTGTTCCCGCTCAGGAGCACGGTGTGATGATTCCATTCCATCCTTCTAGAAGAGTCTGGGTTCTTCTAGTTCCTGTGGAAGGTGTCCTCTCTCATTTCTCCCAGCGGTTCTTAATGTTGGCATAGAGTGTCTCCCTCGGGCACAGGGATCTGGGGGAAGAGGGAGCCATGCCAGACTTTATACATGCAGTTCTTCAGGCATGAACAAGAGCTTTGTTCACGTTAATCCTAACTAGAGATCAGAACATTTGAAATGGGAACTTATCTCGAACCTTTCATTTGTCTGTTTGTTCTGTGGTGCCCAGGGTCAGACACCCAGGCTCCTGTCTGATGAGTGAGTGCTCTATCACAGAGCTACCCCAGCTTGCGACCCTTCATTCTTGGTAGTTGTCATTGTTTGGGAGAGCTTTTTAAAGTGTGTGCATTGGTGGTGGTGGTGGTGGGTTGTCCATGTGAGTGCAATGCCAGAGAAGGCCAGAAGAGGGCATCAGATTCCTGGTCACAACCCACTAATGTGCCATTGTTCGCAAGAACAGCAGGTGCTCTCTCCAGATGAGCTGTCTCTGAGCCCTGCTGCTGTTTTGGGGCGGGCATTCCTATGGCTGGCCTGGAGTGCACTACTCAGATCAGGTAGGTCTTGAACAGTTAGTGAGCCTCCTGCATCTGCCTCCCGGGTGCTGAGTTGACTCTTGGTTTTAACCCCTAAACTAGAAGTGTGATCTCCAGACCAGCTGACTGGGGTTCCCAGGGTCATCCAGCCGCCTACTGTGGGCCCAGGACTCTACATGACAGCAAGGGCCAGAGGAGCGTCTGTCGTGGTGTGGACTAGATTCTCGGAGTATGGTTCTGGATTAACCCACAGTCTGCTTCTCTTCACTCATTTACTTTAAACTTTTATCGCCATTTATTTATGGGGCAGGTGTGCACCACAGCGTGACTGTGGAGGTCAGAGGACAATCGGTGGGAGTTGGTTCTTTCCTTCTGCCATATGGTTCCCAGGGATAGAACTTACATGGTAGCAAGCGCCTTTATCTGCTGAGCTATCCTGCTGGCCATTGAGTCACGTGTGTGTGCACACACACATGAGGGGGGGGGTTCTCGGGTGCCATTCATTCACTTTTTCACTTTTTTTTTTAAAAGATTTGCTCATTTTTTATTTTATGTGCATGGGTGTTTCACCTGCACACATGTCTGTGCACCCTGGGCATTTACTGCTCTTAGAGACCATGTGAGGGCATTGGATCCTCTGGATTTGGAATTATAAATGGTTGGGAGGCACCTTGTGGGTTCTGGGAACCAAACTTGGGTCCCCTGAAAGAGTGAAAATGCCAAGCCACCTCCTCAGCCCCCAACTGATTTTTGGCGACTGTCTCTCATTGTCCTAGCTCTCAACAATTCCTCAGGCTGGTCATCCAGCCAGGCCAGAGATCTGCCCGTCTGCTCCCCAGTACTGGGGTTACAGGCACATGCCACAGTGCCAGGCTGTATTTGACATGGGCTCTGGGCATCAAGGTCTCCCTCACTCTTGCAGGGCAGGCGCTTTGCTGACTCATCTGAATCTCTCCACCTCGGCCTTTGAAAGTCAGACACCCTCATGCTCCAGTCCCTTGCTGCATCCTGGTCAACTCTTGGATGAACATCCTGACGCCATAGACAGAGCCACATGGTCATGCCTCACCCATCGTGATGCTCTGAAGCCATGGGACAAAATAAACCTCTTCTGTTCCTTCCACGAAGTATGACCGGAGTGTCCCCAAAGTAACTAACAAATGTGGCCCTGAAAACTTAACCACAAACTTGAGTGCAAAGGTGTAACTGGTGGCCAGGGCAATGTCTCAGTGGATGAACTTGCTACACCAGTATGGGGATGGAGTTTGGAACCCCAGAACCCACAGAAAAGTCAAGCATGCCTGGCAGCCAGCTGCAACCCTGATACACAGTAGGTACAGACAAGGATCTCTGGAGAACATGGCCTAAGGAGATTACTGCCAGTGGTGAGCTCTGGGTTCAACAAGACTCTGCTTCAATAAATAAAGAGGACAGCCATCGAGGAAGACACTCAGCATTAACAGCTGGCCCCCACCACAGATGTGCACCACACATACACACATACGCACAGCACACCACACATAAACACACTCAGAAAACATGAAAAACAAGTGCAAAGTATGGAGGTGTGGAACTGTGGAGCTGCAGAACACACATGGTGAACAGAAATCCACATTTCCTCAAACACATTCGGACGTAGTTGCTTGAAGTACAAGCATTTCTACCCATTTCAAGTCTGTGGGGAAAAACGGTCAATTCCAAGGGCAGCTGACTAGCCTCCGGTTCATACCCTGCCTCCCCAAGATCGTGCCTCCTGCTTGTCATCTCTGTGTTTGCAGTGATGGGGTGAGTCCCTGTGTGTGTGTGAGACTGGGTTTTCTCACAGTATGGAGGTAAGTGTGGGATGCAGTGTGTCAAGTGTGTGTGTGGATTCTGTACCTTACCTAACTAGACCACAGACAGATGGACACACTTTAAAAGACACCAAGGACAGGCCTGGTAGTGGTGGCACTTGCCTTTAATCCTAGCACTCAGGAGATTGAGGCAGGTGGATCTCTGTGAGTTCAAGGTCAGTCTGGTCTACAGAATAAGTTCTAGGTCAGCCAAAGCTACACAGAGAAACCCTGCCTTGAAAAACCAAACCAAACCAAATCAAAACACAAAGACATCAAGGACATACCTATGTCAGGTCAATGTCTCAGGCCTCCATGGTCCTAGAGTTCTAATATAGGTTGGTGCGATCTCGTACCCACACCCAGAGCTCTGGATTATAAGCCTGGATCTAGAAAAAAATAACAATGAAACCAAACAGTTCTGTGAGAAGTTCCAGATGCTGGCTCTCGTGGAAGACTCCGCCCTCACGTCCACACTCCAGATACTGGCTCTAGACTCCTCATCCTCAGGCTCACCTTCCAGCTCTCCCACTCCCCAATCCCAGCTCCCACATTTAACCACACTGCTCTCTGTCCAGCCCATCTCTCTGCACCCCACGTGCCCCACACCCACCCACCTCTTCACACTCCTCCCGGGACACCCAGATCCTCCAGCCCATGGACCGAATGAACTGGAATCGCAGTTTGTGGAACATGGGGCGCTGGGCATAGCTCTTGCCGTAGAGGAAGTAAAAAATATCTTGTTTAGGGACCTGGTTGTCCTCCTCCATGTCATTGGCCAGGTACCTGGGGAGGAATCAGAGTGCTGTAGGGCTCTTTACCAAGGCGGATCCAGAAGCGGGGCTGAGGGAGCATTTCATCACTGGACGGCATCAGCCCTGCCCAGTGTGAAGGAAGAGACAGTCCACTGCGGACAGGAGCCTGCCACATGGAGCAGAAGACCCAAGCATCTACAGAGCCCAATGCTGTCCTCGGCATTCTCGACACGAGATGGCCTCAGGATTCCCATCTCCATCCTTTCCCTCTTTCCCCGGCTTTTGTCCAATGGCTGACACAATCAACATTTCTGAGTTCTCTACTTCAATTGCCTTATGGTATAGACAACACACTTTGTAGGACTTGGATGAACTGGAGAGCAAATGAATGAATGAATGAACGAATGAACGAACGAACAAATGAAAGCGACAGTCAAGGCACGATCTAACACTGATAACTTCATTGACTGAGTAGCATAACCTAACCTCTCCCAACATAAACAGAATTAAGGTGTCCCAAGAATGACAGAATTTTGAGAAGCCCCCCTTCAACTGGTGCACTGTAGTAGGACTCGGGAAAAAGAGGGGGCAACATCAGAGACTATAACCCTAAATATCCTGCCATGGTAGGGTTCTATTGCAACACTGCTGGAGGCAAAACCAGAAGATTAAGGAAAGCAGCCAAAGGGTCTTTCGCCCACTTTTTGTTTGATTTGAAATGTCCTCCTATTTTGCCCAAGTTGGCCCCTAATGCCTGAGCTCAAGAGATCCTTCCACCCGAGTCTCCGGAGCTGCAGGAGGCTCCTCGTCACACTGATTGGTCTCAGGGTTTTGGAGTTTGGACCGATTTTAGAGGGGTGAAGTGTCTCCAGGCATACAACTGTGAGACACGCACACAGAAAACACAAAGTCAAAATAAGGACAGGGAATTGGGAAGGGGCCAGCCAGGAAGGGAGGGGGTATGAGGATGATGGGGGAGCCAAGTTGGAGAACATCTGGACAGAGTTCGGAGTTCACACTGGGCACTCCAGCCTCAGGAGGAGAGTGATTTCTGGTGCAGTTTTCTGGAAGCCTGGGAGGGAGTTGTCTGCATTTTCTTACAAAACAAACCCACTAGACTGGGACAGGCTGGCAAGGGAAAGCAGCAGGGGGCATCTTACTCGGGACTGGAGCTGTACCAGGAGGCCTGAGATGGACCATGGGATCCAGGGGAGAAGATGGGATGGTGTGTGGTGCTCAGCACAGAGGGATACAGTCAGTAAAGGAAGCACAGCACCTCAGCCCTTGGGGACACTTCTATTCCATCTTCCTCTCCCCCCAGGAGGGCTCTGTGTGTTAGAGTCATGCCCTCTCTTCTGTGCACACAGACACGAGCAAGCAGCCCTCTGAGAGGCCATCTTGAATCTCTAGCTGTCAAGTACCCAGAGTTTTCAGTTCTCCAAGTGAGGTTACAGGCTCTCTGCTGGTGGGTACACATCTCTAGGGCTACCCAGAGAAACACTGTCTTAAACGCCAAACCAAAACAAATGGGAAAAAAGAGGAGGAGGAGGAGGAGGAGAAACAGAAACAGCAGCAACCACTTCCAAATCACCTGCCCGCTTTGGGCTCCAAATCCCACATCTTTCACTGTTTCCTCTTGCTTTGTTGCATTATTTATTTTATTACTTTATCTGTGCATGGGTGTTTTCCCTGCTCGTATGCTTGTGTACCATGTGCATGCCCAGTGACCAAGGAGGCAAGAAGAAGGTTTCATAGCCCTTGGAACTACAGTTATAGACAGCTGTGAGCCGTCAGGTGAACCCTGGGAATCAAATCCAAGTCTTTAACTTCTGAGCCACCTCTCCAGCCTCTTATTCACTTTTTTAGAATGTGTGTGAACGTGCATACGTATGTGTGTATGTGTGGTGTGCATGTGTGTGAGCATATGAATGCATGCTGCATGGATACATGTGGGTATGTAGCTGCATGTTTGTGCATGTGTGCCTGTGTGAAGGCCAGAAGTGAACATAGGGTGTTGAACTATAGGAACCATCCACTTGTTTTTTATCTAGAGCCTCTCTCTGGGACACAAGTCTTGCCAATAAGTCTGGACTGTCTGGGGAGTGAGACCCAGGGATCCTGGCTCTTCATTTGGACTCTGGAGATCTGAACTCAGGTCCTTATGAATGTATGGCAAATGCTTTACCGACTGAGACATCTCTCCAGTCCCTTGCTCAGTTTTAAAAATAAACATTAGCTTCCCAGTCCCCACATGGCAGCTCACAACTGTCTGTGAATCTAGTTCCACAGGATCCAACACCCTCACACATATATGAAGGCAAAAACACCAATGTGTATAAAATAAATAAATAAATAAATAAATACATTAGCTTGTTTTCCCTCATAAAGCCACAAAACCAGGCATAAGAGAGATGAAAAGTCAAAGACCCACTTCTCTTGACCCACATCTAGGGCAGGGAACGGTGACCAACAGGAGGAGGCAAAATACTCACAGAGCCAGGAAGAAGTGGATTGGCCTATACTGCCAGGAGAAGAGCCCAGCGCGGCTGAAATAAGCTATGACCATAGACAGGAGGTACTGAAGGAGAGAGCAGACAGGAGAGGAGCTGTCACACCCTGGAGAGGAAGACCATAGGCACAGGGGAAAGGGGCTGAGGGGGTGTGAGGCTCAGAGAGGAGCCCCAAGGTTTGGGTACCTGCTGGAGTGGGGAAGGGAGGGTGAAAGGGGCATTCAGGAAGGCCAGGTCAGAGGCAGGAAGCCCTTGTTCCAGCATGGTTGGCTCCGGGTCAGTTCTGAGGGAGGACTTAGGACAACTGGGACAAGGAGGTCTTTGCCCAGCGGGAAAAAAGGGTCCCAGAGAGCTGTGGGAGAGAAGAAGCAATTCCCAGGGTAAGACTCAGACCCCAGTGAGGCAAGGGTCTCCTGTCCACTCTGTAAGACACTGCCAGGCCCTGAAGAAAGGCACTGGCAGGATATGGAGGGTCAAGACTGTGTGACTTCTGGTGGCTCTGGGGAGGGACAGAGGATGGTGGTCAGGGAGGCCCCTCCCCAGGCAGGACAGGATCTGGAGCCCAGCTTGGCGCACCTTATCAGACACTCTCAGCGTCTTGTCCCAGGCCAGGAATTTTTTCACCACAGGATCCTCTGTGAAGGAAGAGCATGTGTCATGGTGTGAAAGGGAAGAGCTTGGGGTGAGCCAGGAGAGCTGCCTCCCTGGGGGAGAGCCAGGAGAGCCGCCTCCCTGGGGGAGAGACAGTGTAGATCCCTGGGAGAGAGCCAGGAGAGCTGCCTCCCTGGGGGATGGCTCAGGTCAGATCCCATGAATAGACACAAGAGCAAAGGATGGAGCAGGCACATGTGCCGGAAGTCCCACCTGGACCTCCTGCGAGGAGATGCTGACAGAGGCTTAGAATACAGTGCCATGCATACATGCTTAGATGTCTTTTATGTATGTGTTGTTCGAGGATCAGTCCCAGGTCTTCTGTATGCTGGACAAGACTCCACCATGGAGCTCCATCCTCAGCCAAGGATCAAGATGTCTCAACAGCTGCTGTTCCCATCTGGTGTCTCAGGAGGTTATGAACATGGATGTGCTGAGCTTGTGTGGGCAAAGACACCCCAGCTCAGCAAAGTCGGAGCTAAATAATAGCTGGGGTGGTGGATTCTGGCTTCTCCCATACCCCTGGGGACACATGTCAACTCTAGCCTAAGCCCCTGCCACCTATGCGTCCCTGAGACTCAACTGAGCTTGAGCCTCCCAGGCTGACTGCTCTGGACTGGGAGGGAAGCTTTCCCACGGGGAAAAAGGTTGACTAGAAGCTTCCTCCTTCGCCTAAGGAGGGAGCCATGTAGGTGTCACCTACCCAGCAGCCTGGTGAAGACCTTGTGGTGTTCAGGCCTCACCATAGATGCGGGCCTCCTCCTCAGCGTCATCCTGAGCCCACACAGTGTCTCCACAGACCACACCGGCTCAGGCTCAGGGTCTAGAAGCTCTGCCAGGTCATCCTCAGAATCCGATGACAAGTTCCTCTTCCTCTTTGGGCTGGTGGAAGGAGGCTGGGAGTTGGCCTCCGCCCTTGGTTCTAAATGAAGAAACCACACCCCAGCATGTGTGAATCTCAGCCCTGCCCCTTGATACCCCAAACACCCCAAACCTCTTCAGCTACTGCCTTTCCCCAAACCATTGTGCCGATTCCCTCTGGGCTGATGGCCACCTGCCTCTCATCTTGTCCCCATCCCCTCTCCCTGTTCCTCAAGACTCTTCCTCATCAGAGACAAATTGTCCCTATACAAAGGAAGTCTCTTCTTATGTCCCCTCTTCTCCGTCCTGTCTCTGACTCTTGGTGCCTAACCCCTTCCTTGTACTGCGGGTTTTCAGTCCATGTGACATCTGTGTCTGACTCCCTGTTCTCCGGCCCCCAGTCCTGCCTCCCGGGCCTCCCTCCTGCGCCCTTCCTCCTGCGCCCTTCCTCCTTGCCATCACCCTCTCATCTCTCCTCACCCAGTCCCCTCACCTGCTGGTCCTGAGATCTCCCCATGCGTCAGCACCCCAGGTGAGGGCCTGGTGATGCCAAGCTGAGGACTCTGTCGCTCAGAACACAATGACAGTTGGCCAGAGGTCACGATTCTCCCTACCTGTTTCCTCCCACAAATCCTAGACTTTGGTCTATCCCACCCTCCTCCTGGACTCTCGCGGGATCTAGGCCTGATGCCCATTCCCTAGTCTGAGGAGATCTCAAGAGTGGAGCTCTGAGAAGACACTATCGTCATTTGGTTTGCCTAATTCCACGGAGTGTGTCCTTCATATGAGGAGTGCAGGAGCCCGTGACGTTGTCACCTTTTCAACCTGAAAACCAGCTTGAAAGAAAGCTTTGCAATTTATGGATTAATAAGTCCACTGTCTCTCACAATGTAGGGTTGACATGTCTCCTGCCACTGACCTAGACTCCTTCCATGAACAAAACCATCTTCCATGTCTGAGTTCTGCTTTCCCCTTTCTGTACTGGGGGAGGGATGCCTCGGTCATCGAGAGTGATTGGTGTGCAACCAAAAGAACCTGAGTTCAAATCTCAGCAACCACACAAGCCAGACACAGTGACCCAGGTGGTGTGGTGTGGTGTGTGTGTGCACGCGTGTGTGTGGTGCAGGAGGGAACAGCAGAGTACCTGGTTTTCGGCTGCTAGCCTAGCTAAGATATGAGAAATAAGGCACAGAGTGATAAAGTATACCCAGTGGCCCCCTGCCTCTTGCACACTCAAAGATATGCATAGGTGTGAATACACACACTCGTGAAGAGAGGAAGACATGCAATGTTGACTTGTGGCTTCCCCAGAAATACATATATTTGTGTTAAGCTTCTTGATTCTAATCGCTGGAGTTATCATTCTCATTCCCACACGTGCGTGACAAACGGTCAGATCCGGCCATGGGTTCCTTTGCCGATCGAGCCATCTCACCAATCCTCCACCTCATGTTTTTGAGACAGAGTTTCCTACTGAACCTGGAGCCTGATGACTCATCTAGACCCACTGGTCAGCAGCTGCAAGAGAGTCTCCTGACTCCACCTCCCCAGCTCAGATTACAGGCCCAGGCCACCCTACCTTCCGTCTTTCTGTTTTGTTTTGTTTTTCTGGACAGGGTTTCTCTGTGTAGCCTTGGCTTTCCTAGAACTCACTTTGTAGACCAGGCTGGCCTCAGACTCACAGAGATTCATCTGTCTCTCCCTCCTACATGCTGGGATTAAAGGCGTCCGCCATCACCGCCCAGTTCTTTTTTTTTTTTTTTTTTCTACATGGGTTCTGGGGATTTGAACTCAGATCCACAGGCTTGCATGACAAGCACTTTGCTCATCTTCCTAGCCCCTGGGAGAACACAGGAGCAGCCACCTCCTGGAAGTCACATGGAGAAGTTCCAATCATGTGCAGGAAGGATCCCGACAGTGGATGGACTGAGGAGCAAGAGAGATGGAGGAAGCCCAGTACTTACGATGGAAGAAAGCGAATTTAGATGGCATGACACGCAGAGGCAAGCTCCAGGACCCGACCATTCGTGTGGTTACCTGCAACAGAATAACAATTTAGTTTGTGGCCTTGCTGCTGTTCTAGAGCCAGAGCACAGGGGAAGCTGGTGAGGAGAGGCCAGGGGGTGATATGGTGACATTCCATTCTGGCCTGTCAGAATAACAATTTAGTTCGTGGCCTTGCTGCTGTTCTAGAGCCAGAGCACAGGGGAAGCTGGTGAGGAGAGGCCAGGGGGTGATATGGTGACATTCCATTCTGGCCTGTGACTGCAGGACCAAGTCCCCACATTCCTACCCTAAGCAAGTCACCCAAACAAGATTCAGAATCCAATTGACCATGATGACACACACCTGCAATCCCAAGGCCTGGGATGTTGAGGCAGGAGGGCTGTTGCAAGTTCCAGGCCAGCCTGGGCTAGAGAATGAGACCTGTTTCAAAAACAAACAAATCATATGGGGGGGGTGGGGAGACAGGCTTCTTCGTTGGTAAAGTCTTTACTGCCCAAATATAAGAACTTTAGCACCCACATTAAAAAAAAAAAAAGGAAAAGCCAGGTATAGCATTTGCCTGTAATCCCTTGCTGGGGAGAGAGAGGCAGGAAGATTCCCTAGGGTTCACTGGCTGGCCAGTCTAGCAGAATCAACAAGTTCCAAATTCAATGAGAGACCCTTTATTAAAAGATAAAGTGGAGAGTAATTGAGGAAGATATATGACCTCTGGTATACACACACGCACACATACACACACATACACACACACACACACACACACACACACGGGGGTGGGGAGTCAGTAATGAATTGATGGTAGTCAAATGAACATGTCTTTGTTAGTTTGTTTATTTTTATGTGTATGGGTGTTGTGTGTGGGTTTTTTATGTGTACGGGTGTTTTGTCTGAACACCAGAAGAGGTCATTCAGATCCTATACGAGTACAGTTATAGATGGTTGTGAGCCACAGTGTGGTTGCTGGGAACTGAACCCAGGACCTCTGGAAGAGCAGTCAGTACTCTTAACGACTGAGCCATCTCTCCAGCACCCAGTGGGCATGTTTTTTAAAAGCAGGATGCCAATGAAAATCACCGTGATACCCTTGACACCACGAGAATGACGGTGATAAATAAGTTGGAGAACAACAAGCGTTGGCAAGAATGCAATGAGCAGTCTACAGTGCCAGCAGGACTGCAAAATGGTGCCGTCAATGTGAAAAATGGGTTGGTGGCTCCTTGCGGCGTCAAACAAAGGATTACCAGATGATGTTTCAGTTCCACTGCGGGATGCTACCCGGTCGATCTCTACATAGGTACTCGTGCAGGAACTTGAACACGGGTGTTCACTGTGACTTAGTTCATCATAGGCAAAAAGTAGCAACCCTCCCAGGGTCTATCAGCAGGTCAGCAAGTATCTGTCGGCAGATTTGTGCGTAAACAAAATGCGATCTATCCACACAGTTAGAGAACCTTAGGATAAGACGAAGGGCTGGGGAGATGGCTCAGTAGGTAAAGCCATTCGCAGTGACAGCTAGATGACCTGAATCACAGCCCCAGAGCCAAGGTCAAAAACAAAACAAACAAGCAGAGGTGGTAGCTTGTCTGGAATCCCAGCACTCCAATAGCAAGATGGGGGAGATCAGAGGAGCCTGCCAGAAGTTCACAGACCTAGAATCTGCCCTCAGGAAGCTTGCTGGACAGCTAGTCCAGAGTACCTAGCACAACAACAACACAAGATCTGCCTTGGAACAAGTGGAGCAAGAGCGCCAGTTCCCCAAAGTTCTTTTCTTGACCATACATGCATCATGGCACATGCATGCTCATACACAAATGAAAAAAAATTAAAGATGAGTGAAATGTTAGTGCATACACATAATATCTACACAGCAGGTGCACACATCCATACCACGTATCTCCCCTTGCTGCCTCTCTACTCGAAGTGCACCCTCTTGGCTTGCTTCATGACCACTGAGTTGGTCCTTAAAAATCCCATTTATGGTCAGAACATAAGTTCTTGTGACTAGGAGATGCTGTGTGAAACAAGACAACTAATTACTCTCCAGGTTCCTCCTTTAATTGAGGTGACTGAAAGCCAGAAGACTGCCCAGTCACAGTGATAACTGACAGCTGGAGCTGAAGGCTGGATCTCCTGATGGGCCACTGCATCACCCACGATGGAGCATCCTTCCTAGGTGGCCTCCTCCCTTCACTCCCTCCGGGGTAAGAGCACACATTGGAATCCTTCATTCCAAGATGCAGTATCTTCCCCCTTCTTCCCTCTAGTCTGTGATTCTATCTTGGTTAACAACTCGCTCATTCCAATTTTTGACCGCAACGTGAAAGTCTGCCTTACTGAATTTCTGGGATGGGAGATCCATGGAACGTTCTGTTTGCTCAGGGAGCCCAGGGATGGGGTCCAGTGTCTGTCCCCCCAAAGAGAGGATGGTGGCAGGTGTTGCATCTGGAGAGGTTGATGCTTACGCATGACCTAGTGTCAAGAATCTTTACAGTCAAACAAGGGAGCTTGTTTGTAAGTTTATCTAACTTGCACAACATCACACATGTTCTCAGAATGCGCCCACCCAATTTTCCATGTATCCCCACGAAAAATGTTCTATTAGTCTATAAAGGCTTGTTACTGACCTTGTCTTTTAGAGCACATGACTTTGTTAGTATTTATTTTACTTCGCAACTTTCCTTTAAAGTATTTTGCATTGGTATGGAATATTTGTGTAAGTGGATTTATAATCCATATTCTCCGGCAACAGGGCATTACTTTCTGTCCTTGTAAAACATATTTTGTATACGGATATTTTTGCCCTCATGGTTGTCTGTGTAACATGAGCATGCAGTGCCCATAGTAGTCAGAAGAGGGCACCAGATCCCCTAGGACTGGCGTTATAGCCGGTTGGGCACCACTAGGTGGGTGCTGGTAATCCAGTCTGGGTCCTATAGGATAGCAGTCAGTGCTCTGCTGCTGAGTCATCTCTCCAGCCCCAAGAGCACATATTTACATCAAGGTATATCATGACTATTAGTCCCTCAACATTATTACTTCTGGTTCTATATTTTAGCATCTTCTTTGATGTTATTAACTTGTGTTACATGGTTTGGAAAAAAAGATTGGACTGGGCAATGTAGCTAGAATCCCCCAGTGAGGGGCTGGGGTGTGGCTCAGTGGTAGAGCACTTGCCTAGAATCCCCCAGTGAAGGGCTGGGGTGTGGCTCAGTGGTAGAGCCCCTGTTTAGAATCCCCCAGTGAGATGCTAGGGTGTGGCCTAGCAGTATTGCACTTGCCTAACATACAGGAAGGTTTGGGTTCTATGCTCAGCAATGAAGTATAAATAAAAGAACAAATTTTGCTTGTTGCAAATGGTAAAAATTTTTCCACCCTTCCCATTTTAAAGAGTGCTTTCTTGAGGATATTTACAGTAGAGATACATATTATCTCTTTGATACACATCTGGTTTTAAAATTATTATTATATAAGCTTTCTGCCCTCGTTTCAGGCAAGAACTTCCTTTTCTGAAAGACCTGAGAGTCCCTTCTTGTCAAGGTAAACCTCAATGAAAAAGAGCATCTCTATTTCCCTGTCACCTGGGGAATTTAATCAAGCTATGAGTCTGTCTTGGACTCAATAACCGTGACATAACACCTAAGTCCATTGAGGATCAGTAGCACCGGCAGGCACAGCTGCTACCTGTTGCTGCTATTGGAGGCCATATATGACAACAGCTGTCACGTGCCATGGCCAGGGCCACTGGGACATTAAGTCTCTAGTTTATAAAGCTGGACACAGTAGACCTCAAGGTCAGAACTTGTAGCTGAAAGCCTGTAGGTCCAGCCAGTAGCCCGTGGGCACACCTGGGATGCTGGCACTGGGTGAGCTTCTCCTTGCTACTGAGCAGAGTAGAAGGACCTCAGCCTGCTGGCTGGTGACCCTTGTTCTGTCTGTACACATGGAAATCTTTTCTTAATACAAAAATATATATGCTTGAAATATCCTCATTGCAAGGAAGGAATTCCTTTTCGGAAAGTCCCGAGTCCCCTCTGTGCAATGCTCCTATCTCCCTGTCTCCCGGGGAGTGTAGTCCGGGCCCCTGTTCAGAGATGTAACTACCTGCTTGTCACAGGGATGTGGGAGCTTTAGCTTCGTGAGATAAGTACCAGCTCAGATGAGCCCCTCAGATACCAGGTGACAGCAGAAGGGACTTGAGAGAAGAGGGAGCCAGCCTGGCAGTGGAGTCCTTCCAAGGCACCCTGCAGCATCTGATGCTTCTGTCTCTGGCTGGTTCCTCAATAGTTTACCTAAAAGTGGCACTTCAAGGTGGCTTGCTGCTGCTTCTGTGATAAAATTCTTTTACTTTCTGCATCAGAGAACTTTCTGAGTTGGCAGATTTTGTTATCAATTTTGACACCAATGTCTTTATGAAGGATTATGCCAAGAATCCTGCTGCATTCTTTCAGCAAGAAATTGATGAATTGTTCATCATATTGTACTATTTGTAGGGTAAAAGGCCCACCCTGGCCCTGAAACCAGAGCCAGTGAAAGAAATGCTTTAGCCTCAAACCCAGAACCAAAAAAAAAAAAAAAAATGCACCCTGGCTCTGAAACCAGTACCAAAGAAACACACTTTGTCCCTGGAATAGAACCAGAGTCAGTGAAAGAACTATGCCCTGGCCCCAAAACTGGAGCCAAAGAGCTTTAAAAAGCCAGTGAAAGAAACACAGCTTGGCTCTGAAATTCGCCATTTCTGCCCCTGACGAACTGAACTAACCAATCACTGAGCAGGAAAAACTAACCAATCCCTCTTCTTCCTGGGAAAATGCTGCCCCTAAGAAGCCTTATATAAGCCCAGTGCCTGGTCAGGTTCAGACTGCTCTTCTTCCACCCTGGCAAGATGGCCAATCTCCTGGATTCTTCCCTCCCAATAAGTCTCTTAAAGGAGGTTTGGGTGAAGACCTTTCCCCAAAGCAGAGATGGGGGAGAGCGGGACTCTAACACTTTGGCTGCGCAAGCCTTCCCCTAGCAGAGCGGTGTTGCTACACCAGAGCCGAACTCTAACAACTTCAGTGGGGAAGCCCTTCCCTGCTGGAGCAGAGCTGCTACTTTGGGGAAACCTTCCCTAGAGCAGGGCTGTAATCTGCTCTGCTAACTGTGGTCTGTACTGTTCCCTGACTCCGACTGCCAGAGCACTCTTCCACCTAACACTCAATATTCCTGGCTCCTGATCGCCAGGATCCCTTTCCTTCTGAGCTGTGACACTTCACCATTTTTGAGAACTTGTCATCATTGCCTGACCCCAGATACCGCATTACTGTTTTGCTCTTTCCACGTGTTCTTTTCTGGTTCTGTTTGTAGCGTTTTATGCATTAGTCGTGCGATCTAGAAAACCCACCAGTTGTGTTTTCTCTTCCTTCTCTGTACAGCATTGCTGGGTATTTCTTGTGCCTAGTATTTCAAGAAAGTTTGGTTAATTGAGAAGACACAATTCCTTTTCCTTACTTCAGAATCTTCTTCCTTCTATTTTAAGAGTCCCAGGCCTGGAAAAGATTTGAGTCTTAAACCCGCAGGCCGTTTCTCCTGCCTCAAAGGGAGTGAGGACAAACACGAAGGTGAGAGCAGGCCTGGGGGCGGCCATTGCTCTCAGAGCGCCATCTTCAAGCGGCTGGGAGGAGGTATATTCTTGCGCGACGGTCCCTAGATGCGCGAAGACTTCTGGGAGATAGAGTTTCTGCTCTACTCCTAGGGAGAAAGGAGATCCCTGGAACTCGGGCTTCCGGTAAGATGCTGCCCATGCGCGCGTCTCAACCTATGCGCGTGCTCGTGCATGCGCACGGCCTCCGCGCCGCCCTGATTTCCTGCAGGTCCTGGGTCGAAGCTCCCTTCCCTCCTGTAGCTTTTGCTTTCGCTAACTTGGAGTCGCAGATCCTGTGAGGGCCGAGGCCGGATTTTTCCGGTCTGCAACCGGAGGGCCCAGCGGGAGCGCGGCGTGGAGGCCGAGGACAGGGGCGGCGGGACTGTCAGCTCGGTGAGGCCCGTGGGCGCAGTTTGGGGGCCGCGAGAGGGAGGCTGGGCCTGGCCGGTCGCTCGCCGAGGTCCTACCGATCTGCGTCAGCCTGGGCTCCCCGCTGTCCCGTGCGGAGCCCAGGAGGGACGCAATGGTCGGGGCTGACAGCAGAGCAGCTGCACGGCTTTGGGGTGCATGGACGGTCCGAGGACGAGGTGTGCAGGCACTGGGAGGGTCAGCGGTTCCAGATTCCCACGGTGTCACTCAGCGCCCATCAGCACCAGTGCTCCGTCCGCTGGTTCCTACCTTTGTAGCACTTTGTCTACCCTTGTAGCATCATAACGGTCTAGTGCAGGAAGTCTGCTTTTGCTTCGGCTCGTGGAGGAATCAGTGCGATGGTGTGACTTAACTAAGGTCGTGCAAGGGTTTGGGGATAAGCGTGCCATTGTTTTCCAGTTTCTCTCGTATTCCTTTTTAAAATGGGCAGCAGTAAGCAAGTTTAGTTGAATAGTTTGAAAAGAAACCACGCTTTATTACTGTTTATACGACGTCTGCCCATCTGGACCACTTTTCCTTTTTACATTTTTGTTTTTGAAACGTGATCTCCCTGTGTTACCCAGGTTGTTCTGGCACTCGGTGATCCTCCTGTCTCAGCCTCCAGTACTCCAGAGAACTGGGAGTACGTGTATGTCACCCCATGGAACATTACTTCCAAGTGTACAGAGCTCAAAATTCTTCATTCACATGACATAGTTTCACCAATTTGAACAGGAAATAGAAATAGGAAACAGGAAAAATAAAAAATAACCTTTTTTGCACCTTTACATCTAATGCCCAGGGTCTGAAAAAAGAAGCAGTTTTGAGTTCATTGTGTAGCCCAGCTGGGTGGTGATGGCACAAACCTTTAGTTCCAGGACTTGGGAGGCAGAGGCAAGCAGGTCTCTGAGTTCGAGGCCACCCTGGTCTACAGATTGAGTTCCAGGACAGCCAGGGCTACACAGAGAAACCCTGTCTTGAAGAAAGAAAGTGTAGCCCATCCAACTGTTACCTGTTGGAGTTACTGGTTCCTCCTGTCACCCGTGTTACCTCTTCAGAATGTTTGTAGATTGTGACTTCATTTGGCGGTTCCCAGGCAGGAGATGTGTCCCTGTGTAGACCAGTTAACACCTGGTTTCCTTTTCCTCCCCTAGGTCTGCCATCGGCAGCGTCTGCGCTTTTCCAAGAGCAGCAGAAAATGAGCCGATCGAGGGTGAGTTTTTCCGTGTGTAAAGAGCCTTTTCTCGTTTGTAATGTATTAGGGAGACTGACAAAGGACTCTTCTTTAAAATGCTGTGGAGGTGGAAGACTATAAAGGCGATTACAATATAAAATATAGCCTGAGCGGCAGGATTGCCATGGCCTGTTGTGTAGGCAGTGTGAAAATTTTAGGCTAATGGAGTTACTTGACACTGTGAGAAAAAGGAGGGTCGCATCCTTTCCATCACCTGCCTGCAGGTACTGTTGGGAGATGCCACTTCTGGTTGCTTATGGGTAGTGAAAATTTCCTAGGACTTGGCAAGTTTTCTTTATTCAGGTTGGTGTGAGCATTAATGACATTCGTAATAACAACCTTGGAGTCCTGTGTAAGCAGAGGCCCCGCTGCCCATGAACTTGTTGCAGGCCATTTTTCCAGGGACCATATGTGACGGGCCAGTGTGATCCGTTTCCATCTTTCCTTTCTAGTTGTAGAGTTTGAGGAAACTCTTTGAATAATGGTTCTTTTAAAATGCCTCTTAGATTTAAAAAAAAAAAAAAGGGCTGGAGAGATGGCTCAGTGGTTAATAGCATTGCCTGCTCTTCCAAAGGTCCTGAGTTCAATTCCCAGCAACCACATGGTGGCTCACAACCATCTGGAATGAGATCTGGTGCCCTCTTCTGGCCTGCAGACATACACACAGACAGAACATTGTATACATAATAAATAAATAAATAAATAAATAAATATTTTTTAAAAAAATGCCTCTTACGGTTTTAGGGGGTTTTTTTTTGCTGCCTCCTCCCCCCAGAAACAGGATGGTTTATTTGTTGTTTCACAGTTTGGAAATTTGTTGCCATTGTCTTTACCTTTAAAGTAGTTGGAAAAAGTCCTTGCTTTCCATGTGAGATTGCTTCTTTGCTCAGAAAGATTAGTCGGAGTGTGTCCATTCATTTTTGTTGTTGTTGTTTTGAGCCAGGGCCTCACGTAGCTCAGGCTGGCCTCATGTAGCTCAGGCTGGCGTCGTATAGCTCAGGCTGGCCTCATGTAGCTCAGGCTGGCCTCGTGTAGCTCAGGCTGGCCTCATGTAGCTTAGGCTGGCGTCATGTAGCTCAGGCTGGCCTCATGTAGCTTAGGCTGGCGTCATGTAGCTCAGGCTGGCCTCCTGAGTGCTATTGTAGCCTGAGAATGACCTTGATCCTGGTGAACTCCTGATCCTCCTGCCTCCACATCTAAGGGCTGGGATCACAGGTGTGCACCACCTTGTCCATTACTTTTCTATCTGCATGTTGAAAATTACCTTGACAAAAGCCACTTAAGGAAGAAAGGTTTTATTTGGGTTCACGGTTCTGGAATACAGTCTGTCTGGCGGGGAGGGGCCTATATTAATGTCTTGTCTGAAGTCAGGGAGGAAAAGGGACAGCATGCTGCTGCGCGCCTCCCTTTTGTCGGCAGGCCAGCATCCCAGCCGGGCACGGTGACATCCACAGCGGTAGGGTCTTCCAGCGCCACTGTGTAATCAAGACAGTCCCCATAGGCCCGTCTCCCAGGTGACCTATCCCATTGACAGCACTGACATCAAAACTGTTGTACAAGGCATTTGTGAGCTTCCTTCTAGAAACCTCTGTGATGTTCCTGTCTCCGCTGTTGTGAGCTTAGCGGTTGTGCAGTAATGCTGTTGTCACCGTCTGCAAAGGTCTTAGGGAAGGCTGAGTGGTAGCTCACTCTTCGTACCATTTTCTCCTCATTTGTTTACTGAATACTGTTGTGAACGCGAACTCGCCATTTTGGCTGCATAGCTCCTGTGGGAAGACAGATTAGAACTACCGGGTGGGCGTCTGAGCAGCGCGCTTCTTGCTTTGAAATGTTTCAAGTGTCTCAGCACGTTGATGGTGAGCAACCTTGATAGTCAGATCTTGAGTTTGGAGACCAGATAATTCCTTTAAGGTATTTTTTGAGTTCTTGGGAAACACTTCTTAAATATTTGACAGCATTTGTTTTTTATTCAACATTTTATTTTGAAGTAATTTCAGATTCATAGAAAAGTTGCAAAGAGGGGCTAGAGAGATGGCTTAGTGGTTCAGCCAAATGGCTGGCTGCTCTCCCAGAGGTCCTGAGTTCAATGTCCAGCAACCCCGTGGTGGCCCACAAGCATCTATAATGAGATCTGGCTCCCTCTTCTGACCTACAGGCACCCATGCATGCAGAACACCATATACATAATAATTTTTTTTTAAACAAAAGAAAGGTTGCAAAGAAACAGAAGAATGATACAAAGAAACCTTACATTCCTTTTACTCTAAGGTACCAATTCCTTTTAAAAAAAACAACTTTTTAAATATTTTATATGTGCCTACATGTGTGTGATGGGGCAATATGTAGCATTTCCATAGTGTCTCTACATGGATTCTGGGGATGGACCCCAGATCATCCGGCTGTGTGGCGAGTGCTTTACCCACTGAGCCATCTCACTAGCCCACCCTGCCAGCGTTACTCAAGAGAGCAGAATGGCTAATCGACAGTGTGCACTCTACAGCACCGGATGTAATAAAACCACTTCACAATGACAGAGTGATTGCTGAATCTAGAGAACATACAAACGCTTGAGGATTTTGTTTCGCCTTTTTTTTTTTAGGGGATCCAACTGGGAGAGTCTCATCCATAGAATTATAGAGTCATACATAGAATCAGGGTCTTATATAGAGAGTTATAGAGTCAAATATAAAACCATAGTATTGCCTGGCGATGGTGGCGCACGCCTTTAATCCCAGCACTCAGGAGGCAGAGGCAGGTGGATCTCTGCGAGTTCGAGACCAGCCTGGTCTACAGAGCTAGTTCCAGGACAGGCTTCAAAGCCACAGAGAAACCCTGTCTCGAAAAATAACAACAACAATAATAATAAAAAAAAAATCCATAGTATTATAGACTCTCGTGCATGGAATCCTAGACTTTCATACATCATAGAGTTGTATCAGGTCTTTTCTTTTGAGCCACAAGCCAGCTCCCAAATCACGACATAGAGACTCAATATCTGTTGTAAATGCTCAGCCTCATCTTAGCTCTTATTTGAATCTGTTTCTCTCTGTCTACGTTTTGCCTCAGGGCTTTTTACCTTTCTTTCTGTAAGTCCTGCCCTGTGTTTGCTGGCTGGCAGCTGCCTGACTAGCCCCTCATGTCTTCCTCTTCCCCTCCCTCATTCTCTCCTCCTCTCTTCTTAGTGGGGCTAGATTTCTCTTCCTACATATTCTCTCTGCCTGCATGTCTTGCTATCCCTCTTCTGCCTAGCTGTTGGCTGTTCAGCTGTTGATTAACCAATCAGGTACCTTAGGCAGGCAAGGCAAAACAGCAACACATCTTTTCATAATTAAACAAGTGCAACAGGAACAAATGTAACACACCTTCACACAGTTAAATATTCCACAACATAAACATAACACACCTTCACACAGTTAAATATTCCACAACATAAACAAACGTAACACACCTTCACACAGGTAAATATTCCACAACATAAACAAATATAACACACCTTCACACAGTTAAATATTCCACAACATAAACAAATATAACACACCTTCACACAGTTAAATATTCCACAACATAAACAAAATGTAACACACCTTCACACGGTTAAATATTCCACAGCATTGAGTCTCAATACAAAAATTGTAGACAGATTTAACAATCCTAGGCATTGGCATGGTACAGTTCCTGACAGAACTGTGGAGAAAGAGACAGAGGCTCAGCTTCCACCGCCCCCTCCCAGTCATAGGACACAGCAGAACGCTGCATGTATGTGGGCACTTGCGCACTGGAGGGTACAGCCTGCTGCAGTCACCTGTCACTGCTGAGAGCGGAAGCCCTCAGTTCTACATTTGTAGTCATTTTTAGAAGATTACAAAGACAATCCCTTTATTTTTTCCTATTTGGCTTCACTTGTTTTTACGTTTAGATTACTGATTCAGTGGGTGTTCATTCTGTGCCAGCAAAGGCTTGTGGGTGGTTTTCCTTGTTCAGTTATCTCCTGCTCTTACAGCCTTGCGTCACCACAGTGGAATACCAGAGCCAGCAAACTTTCAGGGAAAACTGTCGTTTGCCCAGTTTTCGAGCCGGTAAGCAGCATTCCCACGCGGCCTCTGCGTCAGTTCCCACCTTCGGATTCCTGCCCTGAGGTGCTGCCTTGGTTGCTCTTGACGAAGGTCTATGACCCTGAAGCCAAATGAACCCGTTCACCTTCAAGTTGTTTTTGCTCAGTGTTGGTCACAGCCGCAGAGATGCAAATGAGACATTTCCTATTTTACTTCTTTTTATTCATAGCCAGTAACAAACTCTTTAAATCTTTGGTTCTGGGTATTGAACTTGGGGCCTCTTCTATGCTAAGCACACACTCCACCTACTTACATCTGAGCCATGGAGTCTACATTTGTAATCTGGTAATTCCCACTAGTACTGGAGCTGAACCCAGGGACACACTGTGCTAGGCAAGTACTCTTACCACTGAGTTAGGTCTCTTACACATGCCTGCATGCACATACGCGTACACACACACTTGTTGAAACAGAAGCCTGCCCAATAATCTCAGGTGGCCTTGAACTCATGATTTTCCTGCCTCAGCTTCCCAGGTGCTGAGATTACAGGTGTGTGTCATCTTGCCCAGTTTATTCTTGTTTTGTGGTATGGAATCTTACTATGTAGCCCAGCCTTGCCTTGAACTAAGGACCTCCTGTCTCCGTCTCCCAAGTGCAGGGATTTCAGATGCACATACCACTCCTGGCTGTGTGTGTTCATTTTATATCCTTTTACTTTACATTTATTTTATAGGGTGGGGTGGTTTCTCTATCAGTTCTCTGAATTGTCACGTCATCCGCAAAGAGGAATAGATTTTCCTGGCCCCATTGCCCCCTGAAGGTAACAGTGAGCATTGGGGTGGCGCAGGCTTTTCTTCTTAGCTGGGTATAGTAGTGCACCACACTGTGCTTTAGAAACCAAGTCAACCATTTAGACTCCCACGTTTAAGTCATTTCTAACACCTGTTTAGCCATACACTCTTATTTTATGGAAGTAATATCATAATTTATTAGAAAACGAAAATAGGAGTCGGGCCAGCAAGATGGCCCAGCAGATAAAAGTGCCTGAGGATATGAGTTTATCTTCAGACCCATGTGAAGGTGGAAAAGAACATATTCACAAAGCTGTGCCCTGGCCCCACATGTGCTGTGGCTTAAGTGTGCATACATGCATGTACACAGTGCTTTTTAAATATAAGTCAATAGATAAAATTTAGTTTCTCTGTGCTGAAGAGAAGGAAGGCTCAGTGGTTAAGAGCCCTAGCTGCTCTTCCAGAGGATCTGCGTTCAAAGTCTGGCCTCTGTGGGTACCAGGCATGCATATGGTGTGCAGACATGTGCGCCAGCAAAACACCCATACATGTGACAGAAACGAAGTCCTTTTTCGTGTGTGAATTTAGTTTTGTTAGTGTTGAGTTGTTCGTCTTGATGTCCATCCTTTTGTTTATGTAGTTTCCTTAGCTGATGGTTCTTTGGTTTGGTTTGGTTTGGTTTTACCAGATGGGGTTTCTTTATGTAGCCTCAACTTTCCTGGAACTAGTCGTGTAGACCAGGCTGGCCTCGAACTCACAGAGATCCACCTGCCTCTGCCTCCCAAGTACTGGGATTAAAGGTGTGCGCCACCACTGCCCAGCTATCTGATTATTCTTAATATTATGATTAAATTTTGGGAGAATTTTTCTTATTTGAGGTACTGGAAGTTGAGTCTAGATTCTCCACTCTAGGCAAGGAAAGAGAATTTTTTCCCCCAAGATGGGGGTTTCTCTGTAGCTTAGGAGCCTGTCCTGGAACTAGCTCTTGTAGACCAGGCTGGCCTTGAACTCAGAGATCCGCCTGCCTCTGCCTCTGCTGGGATTAAAGGTGTGCACCACAACTGCTAAGGGAAATTATTAACAGCCAATGCAGATGGACTCCAGTGCCACCTGCTTGGCTCACCTCTTTACCGGGCGGGCGATGGCTGCAGAGTCTGGAAGTGAGTAGAGAGGGTACTAATGGCTTAGTCACCTTTCCTGCTACTGTGACGCGGCTCGAGCAATGGCTCAGCAGTTAACACTGGCTGCTCTCCCGGAGGTCCTAGGGTTGATCCCAGCACCCCATGGTGGCTCACCACCACGTGTATCCCCAGTTACAGGCAATCCAATAAATACCCTCTTCTGGCCACAGACAATATGCATATGTGTACATATATACATATGTACGTACATACAGGAGAAGCGGTCATACATATGAAATAATGATATCTTTAAAAATTGCTCTGATGGAAACAGTTTAAGATAGCTCACAGTTCCCGTCACAGTCCATCCAGCAGGGACGTCAGCAGCAGGCGCATCCACCATCAGAAAGCAGGAAACCATGATTGCTCATGGTCAGCTCACTTTTGTCTGTCTGTACAGTCCAAGATCTAAGCCAGGGAGTGAAGCCACGCGTGGTGGGCAGGCCTTCCTGCCTCAGCTAACCTAATCAAGATGATCCGCGTGGGAATGATGAGAGCCTGTCTCTGCAGTGATTCGGGGTCTTAAGGTGATCCCTGTGGTTAACCATCACACCTAATTGAAAGGGCCTTGGGCCATTTTCTAGTGGTGGCATGTTCACAGAGGAGATTAATTTGCTCAAATTAATTCACATTGAAACGGTTCTCTGAAAGTTTTCATTTAGGGAAACCAAACGCCTGTCCACTGTGGCTAGTCGGGTGTATGTCCTGTTTGATCTGATACAGTTTTGGATTGGATCTGTATTCCTGATAATCCCATGCAGCTAGAGTATCATTTATCTCACATAGAACAGTACATGTGTGGTTATATGATGATGGAGGTCTGAAATCTTGTATCCTCTGCTGTCTCTGGCAGCACCGCCAAAGCCACCAGCTTCGAATCCGATTCAGCAGTCACTCGACTGTCCTGTCCCTGCAGCCATTCCACACTGCTGTCCAGGGAGTTCTGTGGTTTATTCCTCAGGCAGCCAGCTCCTCCGTGGTCCCCATCCTGGGACTCTATGAGGGCTCTGCTGGAGAGTTCAGACCAGTGACCCCTACGTAAAGTTGCTTGACACATGGCTCTAGCTTCTCTTGTCCAGAGCGCTTCTCTGTACCTGAAAGGTATCATGGAGACAACCCTGTGGTTAGGACCCGGATTCCAGTGCTCTTAGAAGAATGGAATGTGTTTTCTGTTTCTTTTAAAGATATGTCTAAGTATGTATTGTTCTTTGTTAATATGTGTGTGAGAGAGAGTTTACGTGTACCGTGTGCATGTAGGAGCCCACAGGCCAGAAGAAGTGCCAACTCTCTAGAACTGGTATTAGCAGGCAGTTGTAATCTGTCGGACACGGCGCTGGGAACTGAACTCCAGTCCTCTGCAAGAGCAGTAAACCTTTAACTACTGAGCCATCTCTCTAGCCCTGGACTTGGGTTTTTGAATCAGGAAGATAATCGTGTTTGGTTGGTTTACTCCTACTCTAAAACTGGCCCTCCCTGTCAAAAGCTGTCCTAGGAAAGCGCATGCTTGGTGTCTCTCCGCCTGCTCTCCGCCCAGCCCTTCTGTGCTGGTGCTGCTCAGTCTGTGCTCTTAGCCCCTCCCTCTGTATCTCACTCTAGTAAGATTCTCTTTTATCATTATCAATGTTGTGTATTACTGCAAGAAAGAAATGTTTGCAGTGAAACTTGAAATAACCTCCAGTGTGTGAGTAGCCCACGCAGTTGGCTATGCAGATGAAATATGTAGAAGTCAAAGAGCTGAAACACGGGGCTGGCAGGATGCGTGCAGGTCCGCGCCACCAGACCTGACAGCTGGAGTTTCATATCCAGAGCGCGCGTGTGCAAGGAGAGAAGAGCCTGACAGTTTTCCTCTCCCCCATATTTACTTCTGCGCGCATGCTGAAAGCTTTTGTTTGTTTATTTTTCGAGGCAGGGTTTTATTGCATGGCCCTGGCTGTCCTGGAACTCGCTCTGTGGACCATGCTGGCCTCCATCTCACAGAGATCGGCTGCCTCTGCCTCCAGTGTGTGCCGCCACTAACCCAGTTGTTTCCCACGTTTTCTGGCCTCTCCAGTTTACACAGTCCAGTTGCAAATGGGAACTGAACTGTCGTAGGGGCTCAGCTTCATCTCACTGGCTGTAATAAACTGCCTTGAGAGAGGCAGCCTGAGGGAGAAGGGCCTGTGTGGCTCAGGATTCCAGGTTGTGGTCCATTATCCTGGGGAAATCAAGGCAGCAGAAATGCTAAGCATCTGCGCTTATTACATCTGCAGTCGAGAGCGAAGAGCACGGAATTAATGCCTGCTGCTAGCACTCAGCTGGCTTTGTCCGCTCTTATAGAATGCAAGATCTCTGCCCCAAGGAATGAGGCCACCCCTCTTGGACAGGTCTTCCTACTGCAGCTAGCCTAATACAGACACACCCTCATGGGCCAGCCTAATTAGACAGGTGGTTCTAGATCATGTCGGGTTGATAGTTAACTGCTACATTCGAGTTTTGCTTTTGCTTTTGTTTCCCGAGACAACGTGTTACGATATGGTTTGTTTCCCTTCCAGGCTCTGTGGCGCTGAGGTGTGGAATGTTGGTGGCTCACTGCACTAGTTGGTTAGGAAAAGCTTGTTCTTTCTGGCCTTTTCTATATCCCCTAATTCTGATCACAGTGCCATTGCAGGGCCCACTGTCCTTCGGGGACGTGGCTGTGGCCTTCACCCAGGAGGAGTGGCAGCGGCTGGGCTCAGAGGAGAAGACGACGTACAGGGACGTGATGCTGGAGACCTACAGCAACCTCGTCTCCGTGGGTGAGCACCCGTTGCTTTCTAGATGCTGCGAGTTCAGTGATTGTCTCCAGGGCTCCTTAGTCCTTCTGCGTAGACATGAAGTCTGTCTTTTCAATGAAGTAGGCTCCATTGAAAGAGTCTACTTTTTGTCCCCTTGTGGCTCTGGATATTGAACCCAGCTCCTATATGTTAAGTGCTCTGCCTCTTAGCTGCATCCCTGTACAAAAAATGGTAAGAAATGAGAGGGGTGTGGTGTAACTTGTGACGCAGCTTCCTGTGTCGGAATGATTTTTGCGGCCCGGTAGTCCCAGCCCTTCCCTTTTTCTTGTTAACAGGGTATGATGTCACCAAGCCGAACGTGATTATTAAGTTGGAGCAGGGAGAAGAACCGTGGACAGTGGAAGGCGACTGCCATGTGCAGAGTCGTGTGGGTGAGTGACGGGAGGGTGAAATGTTACAAGGCGGTCACTCCGGTTGATACTGTAGGGGGAGCTTTTGAAACTTGGTGCTGTTTACCAGGTGAAACCCAGAAACATGGGGGTTTATTTGTATTCAGAGTTAAGAAAAAAATATAACTTGAAAGGAAATGAAAAGCTGGACGTAGTGAACTTTGCCATGAGTCCCACTTCTGTCTCAGTCTATCACCCTTTCGGGAACCGGGCTTTCTGCTCATCATTCTTAGGTCATTTTCATTTTCTTCTTTCAAAGTTGGTTTGTAAAGTACAGTGCTTGTTTTCAATATAAATTTACTGTCTTCCCACTTCTTATCCCCCCACACATACACAAATATATATTACATATTGTAAATCAAAACAGACCTATACACTCATGATAATTTTACTCATAGATTGCCCACAGATAGGACATTTAGGTACTGCTCCTTCTGTATCCTGTATATTCAACATTTGTTCAATCTTACTCCTTTTTAGAAATCAGTAAAGTAGATGACACCGTAGAGAAAATCCAAGAAAGCGAAGGCCAACGTATGAGGCGAGCTGAGGATCTCAGCAGCCGAAGAGCAGAGAAGGAGGACGCGATTGATAAAACGTGTCGCCTGGAACCGCGCCTCGATCCCCGCTGTGTGTCTTGTGGGCAGACCCTGGAACCCGTGGCAGCACTGATTAGTAGTGATGGACGGTATGCACCGGAGAAGCCCGACAAGTGTGCTGATTGTGGGACAGCATGCGGAGAGAAAGCGGGCGACTTTAATCAAAATGGGGATACTTCTGCTCAACCTGATGGAAGCATTCTGCAGAAAATCACGGTTGTGGAGAAGCCCTTTGATTATGAGTGCATGGAAGCCTTAGACAGCGAAGCTGTTTTCATGGCTCACGAGAGAGCTTACATGGGGGAGAAACCCTATGAATGGGATGATGATTCTGGACCAGACTTCATCCAGATGTCAGATTTCAGTGCGTATCAGAGATCACAACTGGAAATGAAGCCCTTCGAATGTACACAGTGTGGGAAGTCCTTCTGTAAAAAGTCCAAATTCATCATACATCAGAGAGCTCACACGGGGGAGAAACCGTATGCGTGTAATGTGTGTGGAAAGTCCTTCAGTCAGAAGGGGACCCTCACTGTCCATCGGAGGTCACACTTAGAGGAGAAGCCCTATAAGTGTACTGAGTGTGGGAAAACCTTCTGTCAGAAGTTACATCTCACACAGCATCTGAGAACTCACTCAGGAGAGAAGCCCTATGAGTGCAGTGAATGTGGGAAGACCTTCTGCCAGAAGACGCACCTCACTCTCCACCAGAGGAACCATTCCGGGGAGAGGCCCTATCCGTGCAACGAGTGTGGGAAATCCTTCTCCCGGAAGTCTGCCCTCAATGACCATCAGAGAACACACACCGGAGAGAAGCTGTATAAGTGTAACGAGTGTGGGAAATCCTACTACCGAAAGTCCACTCTGATTACACACCAGCGGACGCACACGGGGGAGAAGCCGTACCAGTGTAGCGAGTGCGGGAAGTTCTTCTCCCGGGTGTCGTACCTCACCATCCATTACAGGAGCCATTTAGAGGAGAAGCCGTACGAGTGTGCGGAGTGCGGGAAGACCTTCAATCTGAACTCAGCCTTCATTCGCCATCGGAAGGTGCATTCGGAGGACAGAGTCCTTGAGTGTAGTGAATGTGGGAAGTTCTCCCAACTGCAGTGTCTCCCTGATCGCATGAATGACTTAGGACAGAAACACTATGAATGCAGTGAGTGTGGGAAGACCTTCCATGAAAGCTCTGCCTTCAGTGGGCCCCAGTCCGTTCCAGAAGCGGAGAAGACGTACGACTGTAATATATGTGGGAAGTCGTTCTCTGATCTGTCGTGCTACACTGTACATTACAGAGGGCATTCCGAAGAGAAGCCCTTCGGGTGCAGTGAGTGTGGGAAAACCTTCTCTCATAATTCATCCCTCTTTAGACACCAGAGAGTGCACACAGGTGAAAAGCCTTATGAATGTTGTGAGTGCGGGAAGTTCTTCTCGCAGAAGTCCTACCTCACCATCCACCACCGCATCCACTCGGGGGAGAAGCCCTACGAGTGCAGCAAGTGTGGGAAGGTCTTCTCCCGGATGTCCAACCTCACCGTGCACTACAGAAGCCACTCGGGAGAGAAGCCCTACGAGTGTAACGAGTGTGGGAAGGTCTTCTCTCAGAAGTCCTACCTCACTGTCCATTACCGGACTCATTCGGGAGAGAAGCCTTATGAATGTAATGAGTGTGGGAAGAAGTTCCACCACAGATCAGCCTTCAATAGCCATCAGAGAATTCATAAAAGGGGGATATAAGTGCACTCGGTGTGGAAAAATCTCTGACATCTCAATTTAAAACAGACATTTGGTTATAATGAACATTGGAAGTTTAATGGGGAGTCAAGTATGGATTTTCCCCCTAATTTTTATATTTGTGGTGCTGGGATTGAATACAGGGCTTTTTGCATGCTATAGATGCTCTAAATCGAGCTGCACCCCAATGATTCATGAGTAGAGCATCCATGCTCCATGTGAGAAGCCCTAAAACAAAGTCCATCTTAACCTGAATTTTCAGAAAAGAATCTGTAGAAATTCAGCAAGAAACAAACCATGACCATATCACTAATGGGACACTAGATAATATTTACAGGAGTGAAACTTTCAAAGTATTTAATATTTATTTCTGATTTAAATTGTATTTACAAATCAGGGAATCTTGCTAAGAAACATCAGTAAGGTGATGTAACACACTTTGGAAACTTATTAAAAGCCATATTTGTGATATAAAAACAGGTGTTTATAGAAAATATGCAAGAAGTTATCTGTTCTGAATAAACTTATAAAAAGGAAGTTATAAAGTTGGGAGTTGATCCTAAAGCTGACCAAATATGTGGCATCTCTGATGTTTTAGAAATGCAAATTAATAGTAATTCTATGCAATCTTTCGCAACCATGGCTGTGAATAATTTTGAAAACATGATATTGAGCATTAGAATGGCAAGTGTTACAATGGGATTTATTGGTGAAATTGTTATATAATGGGAAAGCACATAATTTTTTTGTGAATGCTTACCAGTAGACTGGTTTTGTTAAAAATTTTCAACTGGAATTGAGCAATTTTTTAAAAATACTATTTTGATAAACTTTGCTGTCTTAGTGTTGTATTGCTATGAAGAGACACCATGATCATAGCAAATCTTTTAATTTTTTATTAATTAAATATTTATCTTACATCCCAACCCTCCCTTTTCTCCCTCGTCTTACATGGCAGTTCTTACAAAGGAAAACATTTAATTGGGCTGCTCACAGTTCAGAGGTCCAGTCCACTATTGTCATGGTGGAAAGCATGGTGGCATGCAGGCAGACAAGGTGCTGGAGTAGTAGCTCAGAGTTCTAATCCATCTGCAGCAGGCAGCCGGAACAGAGAGACGTGGCCTGGCTTGAGCATTTGCAACCCCAGCCCACCCCCAGTAACACACGCCCTCCAGCAGGGCCGCACCCATCCCAACAAGGTCACACCAAGTACTACTCCTTGATGACCAGGATTCAGATGAGCCTGTGGGGCCGTTCCTATTCAAAGCACCACATAGGCAAACATACTTTGGAGTTGCTCATGACAATTTCACTAAAAAGAGTGTTACATAATATAAATATGGTATCATTTTTATTTATCGTCCACTATTCTCGGGGTTTTAGAATGAAATATGCTTCTGGTAGACATTTTCTGGTTGATACTTTCTGGCATTATTCCCTGCTAAAAGAATTTGCCTACCATTTCTCCAGGTGAGAATTGAGAGCAAGCAGTTTAAATCAATAATCATGATAGTCCTCTGATTGCTTGTTCAATAACCTCTCGCTGCCCTCAGTAGATCTGCCCCAAGACCTCTAGTCAATACCTGCAGCAAGATAGCCCCAAGCCATGCATACTGTGGTTCTACAGTACTTTATGTGATCACCAAGATACCTGCTTAGTGATGGGCAGGTAGTGACTACAGTGTGGAATCACTGGACAGGAGGGTGATTGACATTCCAGTGAGATTTCTTCAACACTCCATAAAATGATGTGCAGTTTAAACCTTAGGGATTGAGGGCTGGGAATATAGTTCAGTAGAAAGGCACTTGCCTAGCATGCAGGAGACTCTCTCTTTGATTCTCAATACTGCCCACCCCCAAAATATTGTAAGTTGCTTCCACTTAGTGTATTTGAGCTGTGACTGACAGCCCACCCCACAGATCCTTAAGACTACAGAAAGTCAGACTTGCCGTTAAGAGGAGATGCCACTATGACTTAATTATATGACCTGAATCCAGACAAACCAAGTGGAGATGCTTGTTCTGCAGATGGTGATCAGACCCGCCCTACCCCAAGAAGAGAGATGGTTGGCTGTTCCCAAAGCTAACAGACACATGAAGAAAAGGCAAGTGAAAAAAATATTTATCATCGTAGGAAGCTAGGGAGAAGAACCTCCTTAATTGGAGAAAGGGTGACTTCAGCTACGGCAAGACCATTCAAAAGAGGGCCATATTGACAGTTTCTCCCCAGGTAAAATAGGGCACCAGTCATCTGATGCAACGCCGCACAGGACACAGCCAGAGTAAACGAGGGAAAAACAAGAAAGGAATAAGTCATTAAAGGAGCAGGACTTCTATCTGGCATAACCTTGCCCAAAGCACATTCCGGGGATATTCCAATATATGAGTTATAAATAATAAGGAAATTAAACAAGATTCTTGCATCAAGGTCATTTTATAACACTAGGGTTTTTTTTTTTTAAACATTGACTATTTTGAGAGTGATACCCTTTACAAAAACCTTCAAATGTATAAGGAAAAATATTTCAAGAATTTTGTCTAAACACAAAAATTTTATCTAGAAAAAAATACGTTGCCACAGAGTAGGAAACCTTGTGGTTTCCAGGAGACGCAAGCTCAAAGGGATATCAGTTTCCCCAAAGTTAGCCCACAAGTAGTGGAGTCTCAAATTTTAGTTATCTGTTGGAAATGAACGAGCTGAATCTGAAGTGTACACAAACAACCGTTAATAATTACAGAAGCTAACTTGTAAAACTGCTGCGTGTGGAGGCTGGAGAGATGGCTCAGCAGTCACAAGTGTGCTGCTCCTACAGACGACCTGGGCTTGGTCCAGCACCCACATGGGGCGGCTTACAACAACCAGTAACTCCAACTCCAGGGGGTGAAACACCCTCTTCTCACCTCTATGGACTCATGCAGTCCTGTGCGCACACACAATACACATAATTTAAAAATATTTTTTCATGTTGTCTGTGCTGACTTAAAGCCTGCAATCCCAGCACTCAGGATACAGTAGCAGGCAGAAGTACCATGACTTCAAGACTTGGGTGACAAGATGTGTACAGAGGGAGACCCTGAATCAAAACAGAATAAAACCCCCTCTATTCGTCAATACTAAGACCTGTTAGAAAGTCACAGAAGTTATGGCATAGAAGTAGGTTGCCCATGAGAACAGAATAGAATGTTCTACAGGTCCCCGAAATGTGGGGCACCTGACTCAGCAGGTGACACCAAAGTAGGGGGAGAAGATGTCGCTTCCATTTGATGCACTATCTACTATAACAAAAACCAGGAAAACCAAATTAAGACGGTTTATGAAATGTAACAACGTTTTATGAAAACAGAAGGGGCAGGTTTGGTGACCACTCCTACTGTTCCAGCACTCAAGGGCAGAGGCAAGTGGAGGTCAGCTTGATCCACACAGCAAGTCCCAGGCCAGCCAGGACTACACGATGAGAACTTGTCTCAGAATTATTAGATTTTATGTGTTTGGTGTAAGCAATGTTCCAAGCAAGATCAAAAAAGGCATTAAGGCATAGAAGTTTATTTTGGGTTATACTAAAATTTGGACATCCACAACCACCTGTAGCTCCAGGTCCAGAGCCAACACCTACTCTGGTCTTTGCGCTCACTCACACTTACACATAGATATGGGTTAGAGTGAGCAGGATGGGCTGGAGAGAGGGCTCAGCAATTTGGAGTGCTTGTTGCTCCTGCAGAGGACCTGAGAGAAGTTCCCTGCACCCACAATGGCTGACAACCATCTTTAACTCACCTCCAAGGGATCTCATGCCACTTTCTAGCCCCCGTGGGCACCTGTACTCACATGTGCAAAACACACAAAATAAGGAATAAATCTTTTTATTGTATATTTTTATTGATTTTTGTTGAGCTCTACATTTTTCTCTGCTCTCCTCTCTGCCTCTCCCCTCCCCTTTTGCCCTCTTCCAAGATCCCCATGCTCCCAGTTTACTCAGGAGATCTTGTCTTTTTCTACTTTCTACTTCCCATGTAGATTAGATCTGTGTAAGTCTCTCTTAGGGTCCTCATGGTTGTCTAGCTTCTCTGGGATTGTGATTTGTAGGCTGGCTTTCTTTGCTTTATGTTTAAAAGCCACCTATGAGTGAATACATGTGATAATTGTCTTTCTGTGTCTGGGTTACCTCACTCAATATGATGTTTTTTAGCTCCATCCATTTGCTTGCAAATTTCAAGATGTCATTATTTTTTTCTGCTGTGTAGTACTCCATTGTGTAAATGTACTACATTTTCCTTATCCATTTTTCGGTCGATGGGTATTTAGGTTGTTTTCAGGTTCTGGCTATGACAAACAATGCTGCTATGAACATAGTTGAACACATCCCCTTGTGGCACGATTGAGCATCCTTTGGATAGATACCCAAATGTGGTATTACTGAGTCTTGAGGAAGGTTGTTTCCTAATTTTCTGAGAAATCTCCACACTGACATCCAAAGAAGCTGTACCAGCTTGCGTTCCCACCAGCAATGCAGTAGTGTTCCCTTTACCCCACATCCTCTCCAGCATAAGTTGTCATCAGTGTTCTTTATCTTGGCCATTCTTACAGGTATAAGATGGAATCTCAGAGTTGTTTTGATTTGCATTTCTCTGATGGCTAAGGATGTTGAGCATTTCCTTAAGTGTCTCAGCCATTTTAGATTCCTCTGTTGAGAGTTCTCTTTTTAGGTCTGTACTCCATTTTTTATTGGATTATTTGTTCTTTTGATGACCAATTTCTTGAGTTCTTTGTATATTTTGGAGATCAGACCTCTGATGTGGGGCTGGTGAAGATCTTTTTCCATTCTGTAGGCTGCTGTTTCTTTGACCATGTCCTTTGCTTTACAGAAGGTTTTCAGTTTCAGGAGGTCCCATTTATTAATTGTTGCTCAATGTCTGTGCTACTGGGGTTATATCTAGGAATATAATATGCCAATACATTCAAGCACACTTTCCGTTTTCTATGAGATTCAGTGTGGCTGGCTTTATGTTGAGGTCTTTGATCCATTTGGACTTGAGTTTTGTGTGTAATGATAGATATGAGTATTTTTATTCTTCTACATATTGATATCCAGTTATGCCAGCACCATTTGTTAAATATGCTTTCTTTTTTTCCATTTTATATTTTTTGCTTCTTTGTCAAAAATCAGGTGTTCAAAGGTGTGTGGTTTGATATCTGGGTCTTATCTGGGTCTTTGATTTGGTTCTGTTGGTCCTCATGTCTGTTTTTATGCCAATACCAGGCTTTTGTCAGTACTGTAGCTCTGTAGTAGAGTTTGAAGTCAGGGATTGTGATGCATCCAGAAGTCCTTTTATTGTACAGGATTGTTTTGGCTATCCTGGTTTTTTTGCTTTTCCATATGAAGTTGAGTATCATTCTTTTGAGGTCTTGTAAAGAATTTTGCTGGGATTTTGATGGGCATTGCATTGAATCTGTAGATTACTTTTGGAAAGATTGCCATTTTTACTATGTTCATTCTACCTAAACAAGAGCATGAGAGATCATTTCATTTTCTGGCGTCTTCTTCAATTTCTTTCTTCAAAGGTTTAAAGTTCTTGTCATACAAGTCTTCCACTTGATGGTTAGAGTTACTCTGAGATATTCTATTTGTGGCTCAGGCCTACTCCCTCAGAGGTGCCAGACTCTTGCCCAGACCCACAGAGGTCCTGGCTGCCGTCTACTCCCTTGAAGATTCCAGATTTAGGCCTGGACCTGCAGTGGTCTCTGGCTCTTGCTCACTCACTCAGCAGTTGCTCCCCTGTACCTGCTCCTGTGGAATTCGCTGTCTTAACTCAGCTCAAGCCCAGGCCACTGGCTCAGTCCGACCTCCGCAAATGTCCCTGGTCTGGATCCGATCCTGCTCCCTTGGAGTTCACCATCCCAGGCCAGCTCTGTCTCAGGTCACTGGCTCAGTCTTGCTTCTGTGGAGTTCACTGCCTCAGACCTGCTCTAAGAATAAATCTTTTTTTTTTAAGTGATTTTGGAAGACAAAGTTTCCTGAACAGAAAGGTTGACCATTCTTGCAGTTCATACAGGAAGGTGTAGAAAGGAGCAGCGGGTTGTGTTCCTGCCACCCAGCTCCTGGCCACCTGGCTAGCTTATGCCCCAAAATAACACACAAACTGTATTCATATAAACACTGCCTGGCCCATTATATCTAGCCTCTTCTTGGCTAACTCTCATATCTTGCTTAATCCATATTTAGTAATCTGTGTAGCACCATAAGGTGGTGTCTTACCAGGAAGATTCTAGTGTATGTCCGTCTTGGGCTGGAGCTTCATTGCGTCTGCCCTGGAGAGGAGCGTCATGGCGTCTGAGCTCACTTCCCTTCTTCCCAGCATTCTGTTCTGTCTACTTCACCCACCTAAGGGCTGGCCTATCAAATGGGCCAAGGCAGTTTCTTTATTAACCAATGAAATCAACAGATTGACATATGACCTTCCCACATCAGGAAGGGAAAGGCATTGGTAAACTTTTCCCGTAAAGAGCCAGTTGGTTAACCCTGTAGCATTAGGCCCTTCCCAGCTACCTGCCTTTCCTCTTATAATAGACAGACAACCCCATAGAGTATACAGACAAGTGTGCATGGCTATTTCCTACTGAGCCGTTATTTACAAGTACTGAGGCAGTCAAAATCTGGCCTTGAAACTTCTGGTTTTCTGGTGCTTTATCTAGAATATGTAAAGAACACCTCCTCATCAATAAGAGGAGAACATAAGCAAAAGACGTGGCTTTTCACATCACTAAAGGAAACTAAAGTCTACATAGCTATGCATAGCAAGTCTAAGAAAAAATGTCTTAGCTTATTAATAATCAAGGGAATGTAGGTTTAAAACCCAGCCACCAAGGACTGTGAGATGGTTGCATAATTCCCATGACCTGAACCTGTGGTGGAAGGAAGAAACCAGCTCCTGAAAGGTCCCGTCTGAACCGCACACACTGGCATGTGCGTGCCCAGACTCACACAGCATACACGGTCATTTTTAAAATCTACTCACTGAAGCAGTTAAAATGGAAGCACAAAAAGCATCAGGTATTTGTAAGTATGTATCCAACAGGAACATTTAAAAAAAGATGCTCATTTTTAATTTGTGTGTGTGCTTGTGTGTGTGTGTGTGTGTGTGCAACATGTGTGCTGGTGCCTTTAGAGGCCAGAAGGTGACATTGAAACCACTGGAACAGGAATTCCAGGCAGTCGTGAGGCTCCACACATGAGTGCTGAGCCAAACTCCATTCCTCTTCCCTTATTGTATGAACTGCAAGAACAGTTGTCAATTGCCTCACCATCCCTCCTGCCCTGTAACAGGATCTTGTGCCTTAGAGAACAACTGATTACACACTTGGGAAAACTGACGCTTTCAGTCCAGCGTATATATACCCTTTTACTCAAACCACGCAGAAACACACATAGACACTGCACATACACAGAGTCACACATGATTGCACTAGAGATGTACATAAGGTGAAACTTAAAAAAAAAATCCCAGAACTCTCAAGGCTCACGTATGTAGTAGAAAGGGTGTGTTTCCACTGTGGAATCCTTTTGGACAGTGTGAAGGGAAGATGTTGAAGGCCAGCTACAGGTAGGTACACAGTGTGATTCTGTGTGAAGGATGAACACAGGCGAAGCATCCATGGGGTCTGTCAATCAGTACACCATTTAGTTTTAGCTGAGGCTTGCAGAGGCTACTTATCTGATTTCTGCCATTGCCTATTTTTAATCTGGTGCTAAACACTCTGGTGTGTTCTGCACTGTGTATTTCTGTGCATGTGTGTGACCTCTTGATAGAGGATTTTAAAATCCACCACTGGCTAGCACCTGCTAACATGCCCCTCGCCCTACTTCTCTGATGTCTAGCAATACACTATATATCTAGTCCTTGTAACTCTGCTCAGAGCTCCTTCTTATGGTCACATCAGCTTTGGGGGCACCTACTATGACTTCTTTCACCACAACCTTGAAGCTTACCGCTATGGTATGTTTTGAGTAAAATATTTGAAAAGGTAGAAGAGCCCCCACATTTTTACATATACAAATGTGTTGGTACTTTTTTTTTTTTTTGAGACAGAGTCTAATTATGTAGCTCTAGCTGTTCTGGAATCCATTATGAAAACAAGGCCGACCCCAAACTCACAGAGATTCACCTGCCTCTGCTTTCCAAAGGCTGAGTTTGAAGGTGTTTGCCACCATAATGTTCATATTTATTATTACATTTATTTTGTGTGTGTGTGGTGTGTATGTATCTGGATGTGAATCACTTCTCATATTTCCCAACTTTGAGAACTTTATATTTCTAAATTTAAGATTTAAATTCCTTTGGGGTGAATATAAAATGTGCTTAATTTGATGAAGGATCATACTTAAGAAATGTTCAGGAGGCCTGAAACATGGTTCAGCCAGTAAAGATCCCAGCTGCCCAACCTGATAACCCGGAACTCCTCACATGGTGGAAGGAAAAAAACAACTTCTGCAAGCTGTCTTCTGACCTCCACACTCATGCCATGACACATGCATGCCCCCCATACATATAGGTACAAAATAAGTTAACATATCTTAGCCGTTCTCAGGCAACCAGTGTTCTCCCACACCTGCCTGTGATCCCGGAGTTGAGCTGGATGGAGACCGGAGAATGGCCGGGGCTTGCTGACTTGCTGGTTCAGGCAGAGACCCTGCCCAAGGGAAAAGATGGAGCGTGATAGAGAAAGGTATTTGAATCCGTCTGCTGGTCACTTAGGAACACGTAGCAGACGGACAGAAGTAAAAAGGTTGTTCAACAAAAACCTGAGCAGCTCTGCCGAGATGTATTTCTCAGCGGGAGGATGTGACCAGCCAGTGCAGAAAGACTTTAAGGAGTGGATGTGGCTAAGTCTTTAGGGATGGGCAGTGTATAAGGAAACAGTTCTGGGTGGGTGTGCAAGGCCTGGGCTAAAAGGTGTGGCTGGAGTGGGTGGCTCAGTTCAGACTTAAGGGGCGTGGCTCTGGATGAGGGGTGTGGCCAGGACTTGTGAGCAGGCTCGAGGAGACCCGTAGTTCCAGAGACGCGCTGGATCACAACTGTCCGCCTCTGACAGTTCTTGGAGAGCTGAAGACCGTTGATCAGGTTGAGGGCTGACACAGGGCACCTCGGAAGTGAGAAGGCGGGCCTTCCAGGACCACAGATGGGTGGGCTTGACGTGCAGAAGAGGGAGGGACTAGAGGACGGCTGGGCAGGGAGGGCCTCTGACTGATTGATAACCCACTCCTTTGCAGCGCCCTGTCCGGGCATCATGTGGCCACCACTGGTGTTGCTGTTCCTGCTACTTCCTGCGGCCCATGGCGCCCCTCACCCGGCTGTCGACCTCCAGGAACGCTTTCCAAGCGTACTCGAAGGTTTCCAACGCCCTGTAGTGGGTTGGTGGGTGTGGGGAGAGAGGAATTTGGGGGCCTGCAGAGAGGTAAAGAGGCAGGCGTAGGAAGAGATCCACACAGCGACAGAATAACGACAAGGATGCAGAGAATCGGGTGGGCTGTAGAAAGGAAGTCAGTTCGATGGGCGTGGTCTAGTCCTGGATGCCCAACCCTTTGAACTCCCAAGGAGACCCG